ACTCCACAGAACACGTTTCTACGGCTCCAGAGTCCAGTGGCGGCGCTTTACTCCACTCCAGCCAACGCTTGGCATTGTGCATGTTGATCTTAGGCTTGTGTGCAGCTGCTCAGCCACAGAAACCCATTTTGCGAAGCTCCTAATGTGCAGTTCTTGTGCTGATGTTGCTTCCAGAGGCAGTTTGGAACTCTTTAGTGATGATTCAACAGAGGATGTGACCGACAGTGTGATCTTCAGCACTCGGTGGTCCCTCTCTGTGAGTACCGCTTCGTGGCTGAGCTGTTGTCGCTCCTGGACGCTTCCTTTTCACAATAACAACACTTACAGTTGTCAGGGGCAGATCGAGCAGGACAGAAACATCACAAACTGGCTCGTGGCCGAGGAGGCATCCTCTGACAGTGCCCTGTTTAAAGTCACTGAGCTCTTCAGTGTGACCTTCTACTGCCAGTGTTTGTCTATGGAGACTGTAAGGATATGAGCTTGATTTTCTCCACCTGTTAGCAATGGGTGTGTCTGAAACACCTGAACTCAACAATCAGGAGGGGTGTCCACATACTTTTGTCTATATAGTGTATTTTACATTGAGTATGTTAATGATAAATGCTATACATCACTTATTAACTATACGCAGACAGGCATATAAAGGCTACCCTATACGTATTCGTGAGAGGAATGCACATAAAGCAGTAACCCAGATCACAGGAGGAGATAAGGAGAACCTCAGCGGACTCAGCTCAGCAATATAACAGTATTAGGTAATGATGACATCAGCAGAGTAGACACAGCATCAATCGGTCCAGATCTGCGGCCCTGATAACGCTGAGGGGGGGTTTAGAGCAGGTGTGGGTGATTCAGCAGGTAAAAGGCCAAACTGCAGCATGTCAAGAGTGACAGCCATGAATTTAGAGGAATACGAGTGGGTATGTGGGTAAGTGATTCTGCTCATCCATGAAATATGTCACATATATGAACAGCGTCGCAGCTTTAGGCACCAAAAGAACTCTTATATTCACCGATGGCTAGATTTCCATCGCAGTGTTTGATCTGGGAATTGCTAAGCCTCTCATGCTCAACTGTCCTGGAAGATAATGCCAGATTATTTTTATTCGTATTTCTATTGGGTCACAGCTAATTTGCTAATGCCGCTTAGGCTCCATTTGGTTCTTCTAGATAATTATCTAGCTACCTTAGCTAGCTATTATTTCTACCATGCTACTAATAACTTGGCTTGCTTAGCTGATGTTGGAGTTGAAAGATACAGCAGGGCTGTTTCAGCATAACATGCTACCTGGAGGGTCCTGCCACCCACCTCTGTCATATTATTCTGGATACAAGATTAAATTTAATCAGAGTTATATGATATAAATACATATAAATGCAGTTTCACCACATATAGAGGACAAAGAGTCTTCTATATAAATAAAATAAATAATAAAATAAATGAATAAAAAATTATAATGTGGAAATTTCTGCTTTTTAGAAGCACTGATGCTTCTCTCATCAGTCCTGATAAATTATTTTTCTGCTAATAGCATAACTGAAAAAAGGTGCAGCCTCTACTGCTTACAGCAGCAAACGGCCCTGCATCCACACCAAGCACGATAAAATCTGCGATATGTAGGTGCGATTAAGCCCCGTCGGACAGAAAGCAGGACTCAGGTACCCGGAGTAATCGTTGTAGACGTCCAGGCTGCTGGTGTCGATCAGCAGGCCACACCAGGGGAACAGGCACTGCAGGGGAAGCTCTGTGATCTCCGGGAACGAAAGCTCGTCACGAAACAGGGAAGTTTACAGCCACTTTCTGTGGGTTAATCTCACAGCCGTAATCAGGAACCCCTGCCAGCAAGGTCCTGAGATAGAGGGAGAGATAGAGAGATACAGGTAGAGAGATAGGGAGAGATAGACAGTCAGAGAGACAGACAAACACAGAGGCAAAGGTGTACTTAGAAAGATCTGAGGGAAAAAGTCCATTTAATACATAACGGTTTAATGTTTAATATTGTTGTGCTTTAAGATGTAGTGTAAGTTGTACTGTATTGAAAGTTAATGAAGTCCTAGTTTAGGACGATTTTAATACAGTCGCACTCCAGGAAAAGTTAATGCAGTCACACTGTAGGAGGACTTAAGTGCAATCAAAATATAGGAAGACTATAAGAACACTTTAGTACCGATCCAACATAAGAACGACTAAAGGACAACTTTAGTGCAGTCGCACTATAGGAAGACTACAAGAAGACTTCAGTACAGTCGCACTGTAGGAAGACAACAGGAAGACTTCAGTACAGTGGCACTATAGGAAGACTACAAGAAGACTTTAGTACAGTCGCACTGTAGGAAGACTACAAGAAGACTTCAGTACAGTCGCACTGTAGGAAGACTACAAGAAGACTTTAGTACAGTCGCACTGTAGGAAGACTACAAGAAGACTTCAGTACAGTCGCACTAGAGGAAGACTACAAGAAGACTTTAGTACAGTCGCACTGTAGGAAGACTACAAGAAGACTTTAGTACAGTCGCACTGTAGGAAGACTACAAGAAGACTTCAGTACAGTCGCACTAGAGGAAGACTACAAGAAGACTTCAGTACAGTCGCACTATAGGAAGACTACAAGAAGACTTTAGTACAGTCGCACTGTAGGAAGACTACAAGAAGACTTCAGTACAGTCGCACTGTAGGAAGACTAAGAGAAGACTTCAGTACAGTGGCACTATAGGAAGACTACAAGAAGACTTCAGTACAGTCGCACTGTAGGAAGACTACAAGAAGACTTCAGTACAGTGGCACTGTAGGAAGACTACAAGAAGACTTCAGTACAGTCGCACTGTAGGAAGACTACAAGAAGACTTTAGTACAGTCGCACTGTAGGAAGACTACAAGAAGACTTCAGTACAGTGGCACTATAGGAAGACTACAAGAAGACTTCAGTACAGTCGCACTGTAGGAAGACTACAAGAAGACTTTAGTACAGTCGCACATAGTAAAAAGTCCTACTGTTGACTTAATACAGTCACTCAATAGAAAAGGTGTTTTAAAGTCCTTCTTTATGACGATTTTATTACAGTCGCACTCCAGGAAAAGTTAACGAAGTCCTGGTTTAGGACGATTTTATTACAGTCCCACTCCAGGAAAAGTTAAGGAAGTCCTGGTTTATGACGATTTTAATACAGTCGCACTCCAGGAAAAGTTAAGGAAGTCCTGGTTTAGGACGATTTTAATACAGTTGCACTCCAGGAAAAGTTAATGAAGTCCTAGTTTATGAAGACTCTAATACAGTCGCACTCCAGGAAAAGATAATGAAGTCCTAGTTTATGAAGACTCTAATACAGTCGCACTCCAGGAAAAGTTAACGAAGTCCTGGTTTAGGACGATTTTAATACAGTCGCACTCCAGGAAAAGTTAATGAAGTCCTGGTTTAGGACGATTTTAATGCAGTCGCACTCCAGGAAAAGTTAATGAAGTCCTAGTTTATGAAGACTCTAATACAGTCGCACTCCAGGAAAAGTTAATGAAGTCCTGGTTTAGGACGATTTTAATACAGTCGCACTCCAGGAAAAGTTAAGGAAGTCCTGGTTTATGACGATTTTAATGCAGTCGCACTCCAGGAAAAGTTAATGAAGTCCTGGTTTATGAAGATTTTAATACAGTCGCACTCCAGGAAAAGTTAATGAAGTCCTGGTTTAGGACGATTTTAATACAGTCGCACTCCAGGAAAAGTTAATGAAGTCCTGGTTTATGAAGATTTTAATACAGTCGCACTCCAGGAAAAGTTAAGGAAGTCCTGGTTTATGAAGATTTTAATGCAGTCGCACTCCAGGAAAAGTTAAGGAAGTCCTGGTTTATGAAGATTTTAATACAGTCGCACTCCAGGAAAAGTTAAGGAAGTCCTGGTTTATGAAGATTTTAATGCAGTCGCACTCCAGGAAAAGTTAAGGAAGTCCTGGTTTATGAAGATTTTAATACAGTCGCACTCCAGGAAAAGTTAAGGAAGTCCTGGTTTATGAAGATTTTAATACAGTCGCACTCCAGGAAAAGTTAAGGAAGTCCTGGTTTATGAAGATTTTAATACAGTCGCACTACAGGAAAAGTTAATGAAGTCCTGGTTTATGAAGATTTTAATACAGTCGCACTCCAGGAAAAGTTAAGGAAGTCCTGGTTTAGGATGATTTTAATACAGTCGCACTCCAGGAAAAGTTAAGGAAGTCCTGGTTTAGGACGATTTTATACAGTCGCACTCCAGGAAAAGTTAATGAAGTCCTAGTTTATGAGGACTCTAATACAGTTGCAAATAGGAAAAGTTATTAAAGTCCTACTTCAGGAACTGCACTGCTTTACTCAGTCTCGGGGTGATGAGCAGGAAATCATCCACCAGCCGCATCAGGCACCTGCAGGAGAGTAGAAATAGGCAATAGTGACATCTAGTGGTGCGGATTGGTACAGCTAAGGCTGATATCTGAACAGGTAATGGAATGTGATCAGCATATATTAATCCAGTGAGTTAACCTCTTGAATGTCCAGGCTTATTACACCCTAAAGCTTATTATTCATTAATTACCAAGGTAAACTAACTGAGATATTATTGAGTTACAGGACTGATGAGAACTCTGGACCTCCTTGTGGCTCCTGGGTGTTTAAGGGGTAACAGCTGAGCTGTAAATGCCTGTGTCTGCAGGTGTTAATGGCGCACCTGGTCCTGGACTCACCCTCCTTTCTCCGTGATGTTCTTCAGCAGAGAGTTCTCCATGTGGCCATAGCACAGGTTACAGAGCATGGTGGACACAGCAGAACCCTGAGGAACCCCGCGCACCTGTCGGAAACACCTACAACACACAAAGAGGTTACAGAGCACCATCACTCCCTCCAGGGTAACTCAGAATAGAGAACAGCAACAGTCAAATAAATGGTCAACACATCAGACTGTGTCATAATCAGATCTGTGTCTTGGTCATGTCATTTCACAAGGAATTTATCTTAACAGTACATCCTTACAGAAAGGGGGTTCATTAGTGAAGAGAATGGTTCCATGAGTTCTAAATGTAGAACCATTTGCATGTGTAAAGGGTTCTTTGCAACTGTTCTTCACATTGATGGAGAACATGTTGTATATGAGTTCTACAGAGAACCTTTTTGAAAATGGTTCTGTATGGCACCAAAAAGGGTTCTGCTATTGTCAGAATGTCAAGCTTGTAAAAGTCGAAGAACCCTTTTTGGTGCTATAAAGGACAATTTTGAAAAAGGTTCCCCAGAGAACTCATATCCGACACATTCTCCATCAATCTGAAGAACAATTTCACTATGCAAAGAACGCTTTAAGCATGCAAATGGTTCTACAAAGAACTCATGGTTCTAAATAGAACCAGTCTCTTTTCTAAATAATCTTCTAATAGCGACTGACTCTGGTTCTTTTAACCTACCTATTTCAATACTGTTGACCACACTGTTCTTTTCACAGAGCTTTTTCACAGGATTTGCAGGCATTGTCCTACACTGGATCGAACCCAATTTGACTTGGGGGAAAGAATGTGTGACCTTTGGTGGATATTCTTCATGTTTTAGCGCTATTGTTTCAGGTGTACCCCAGGGCTCAGTACTGGGCCCTATTCTGTTCCGTATTCATAATATGTTCTTATGGGCAAAACTTCTCTACCAGTTATGAAATACCGCCAGACTCAAGACTTCTTTGACTCTCCGTGATGTTGTGAAGATGATTCGATTAGTTAGATTAGTGCAATGTCCACCATTACGATGCACAGCAATTTTATTTATATTTTCACTGTATCACTTTATTTTCTATTGTATTTTACCCAATACTTGATTTTATTCTATTTATTATCTTGTGTGCTTTTGCTTTCATTTTTCAACTTACTATTAAATTGTAAAGCACACTGAGCTGATATATGTATGAAAGGTGCTCTGTAAAAATAAATTGTGTTTTTATTATTTACCTAATATTTTACTCAGTTCCTTCCAACTTTACTTTCGTCTTTATTATCTTGCAGCATTTATTCAACATTAAAACATGAACACAGCCAAAATCAGTCCAGTTCATCATTTATATGGCTCTCTACAACAGTCACTGTCCAGAACCAGCTTTCGAGACCTGCGTCCAGCTCCATAACACACATATGACCGTTAATCCCTGTTTACCGTGTTTGTTCTGTATAGTTCTTTTATGATTTTATCAGGTCGAACTCCTCACACACACAAGTGCTACATAGATTGCGTGTATGTGAGGTGGTTTATGAAGGCTGAGATGGTGATAGTGGACGTACTTCTGGTCGTACTGAATGACGTAGCTGCTCAGCATCTGCTTAAAAAACTGGAGAACGTCCACACCTCTCACCTCCATGGAGTACTGGAAGACACCAAGCAGCACAAAACTCACATTTTCAACACAATGTGTAATAAGTTTATAATAACTAATGCTGATCAATGGTTTTGGAGTCATTCTATGAATAAAGTGTCTGAAGCAGTGAATGGCAGATAATAAGTGATAATAAGTGTTTGGAGATCTACTTTCCTGCAGAGTTTAACTCCAACCCACATCTAAAACGCTCCTGCCGCCCTTACCTAGCACTAATGCATCTCATCCAGCCAGTCGAGAACCTCAGAAGGAGATAAGGAGCTGGAGCAGGTACGGCAGACTGCTGCTGGAACTAGACTCTGATGGAAGGTAGATCTCCAGGACCAGGGCTGGTGCCCACTGCACTACAGATAATCGTGTGACCCCTTCTACTTTTATTGGTTCTGTTATGCAATGGGAAACAGAGACAGGTCCTCGTACCACACTGCCCAAAGGAAAAACACCATAAACAGCTAGATGGACACTGACCCTCTCCACCAGAATGGCGTTGTGGAGTCTCCCGCTGTTCTGCTCCTCCACAGCAAACCCCTTCATGTTCAACGACTCGACGGTATCGGCCTGAGCACACAGCACACATGCACTTCACACAGCTCGACACACAGACTTTAACGTTGGTAACCACAGTATACGGCAAATCCCACTAGAACCTGCTGACCTCTGTGTCCCTAGCGTTTACAGATATATTACACTTCAAAAACATGTGAGGGTTACAATTTATTTAGATTTTAAAATAAAACAATGTTATTTTAACAATTACACATTCTTGAGCCTTAATTTAACAATATCGGTTTTCAAATCAATCATATAGAATTCCAAGCACCTCAGAAGAGCTTGTCCCCACAGTCATGTGTGAAGGGTGAGGCCATATTTGAGGTAAAATTTTTAACTGCGATAATCTATACATGACTATGACATATGTGAATAAATGACCTAAAGAAAATAAATGCCAAATAAATATTATAAAATACATAATGAAAGCTGTGGTCCCCAGGAGTCGTGTCACTGGTGTTACTGCGTAACTAAAAAATCTCTTATTTTGAAATAAAAGTCACACTGATGACATCACTTGACTTCCTTTTACCTGTTTTCTGAGGATCTATGAAGAAAAGCTCATGGTGAGTCCACTGTGTCTTTCAGTTATCAGAGATTTTCTCATTTAGCTCATGATTTCATATGAAGCTTTTAGCTGAAGTCACTGGTGTGACCGACTTATTCTGAGGTCATTGTGAAAAAATAGAACACAAATGGATTAAATTCCATATTTTATTGGATATTCCATGATTGACAACATGTGGTTTGATGTTCTGTAGCAGCCAGTTTGTAAAATGCATTTTTCATTAAAAATGTTTTTGGTGTTTATTATGTGTTTATTATACCTTTATTATGTGTAACACCAATGAGGATTGACTCCTACGGATAGTGGACGTTTCTGCAGAATGACCCATATACAAGACCATGACCCTGCATGTGGTCTGTTCTACTGGATTAAATAATGGGGTTACGTATAATTGCATTCAATCTTCATTTGTCATGATTATTTCACTCTGAATGTGTGTTGCACCATCAGCGTGCACACAAAACAAGCCTAAACAAGCAATTAATGATAGTTAGAACACTGTCTTATAGTAATGTATAACTAGTGTGAAAGGTTTTGCTTTTAGACATAAAATGTAAAATTTGCTTCTGAACTGATGTACAAATTATCTCATGCATAGTAGTATAACGTATAAAAGCCTGTCTGATCTCAGATCAGCAGAAACAGGCTGTGTGCAGCAGAACTGTTTATTAATATGAATAGTATCTAATCTGATCCCCTCACTAAACCATTATAAGGTCTGTTCTCGGTACCTTGGTGCAGAACTGTTTCCTGATGCTGAGTGAAGAATCCCTCCACACTTTAGCGTAGTGTCTGAGAGAGAAACAGTAATCCTGAACTGGACCCAGAACCTCCTCCACCACCTCCAACAGCTTAGCGTGAGGAAGACTATCGTACGCACCGCTAACGTCCACCTACAGGCAGCAGAGAGAGGGATTTATAATTTTAACAGAAAATAATAATGTTTACTTTTCCTTCAGTATGATTTTATTAAACTCCTTGTACAGCCTGGCTGAATTAAGCCATTACTACAGTACGTTTCCTACAATGTGACGGCTCTAAGTGCTCCAAACAGTACAAATGTATTGATTTTCATACAGTGCAACCGAATTAAACATTTCCTGTGGTGCAACAGTATTAACCACTTCCTACAGTGCGACCCTATGAAACTCTTTCTACAGTGTGACAGCACTAAGTGCTCCATGTAGTGCAAATGTATTGATTTTTTCTTCAGTACAGATGTGCTAAACCCTTCATGTGGTGCAACCGTACTACCCATGTCCTGTAGTGCAACTCTATTACACTCTTCCTACAGTGCAACTCTGTTAAACCTTTCCTCTAGCCCAACTCTATTAAACCCTTCCTATAGCGTGACTCTATTAAACCCTTCCTATAGCTTGACTCTATTAAACCCTTCCTATAGTGTGACTCTGTTAAACCCTTCCTATAGCGTGACTCTATTAAACCCTTCCTATAGCGTGACTCTATTAAACCCTTCCTATAGCTTGACTTTATTAAACCCTTCCTATAGTGTGACTCTGTTAAACCCTTCCTATAGCGTGCTCTATAAACGCTGACTTTACCCCCATAGTGTGACTTTAAACCCTTCCTATAGCGCGACTCCATTAAACCCTTCCTATAGCATGACTCTATTAAACTCCTCAAATAGCGCAACTGTATTAAGCCCTTTCTATAGTGTTACTATCAAGTCCTTCCTATAGTGCAACTCCATTAAGCCCTTCCTATAGTGCGACTCCATTAAGCCCTTCCTAAAGTGTGACTCTATTATACTCTTCCTATGGTACGACTCTATCAAGCCCTGTCTACAGTGCAACTCTCTTTGTATGGTGTGACTGTATGACTCGCCTCTTCCATTATGACTGTATTAATGCTTTCTTCAGTACGCCTGTATTAAATTTTTCCTACGGTGTGACTGTGAGTGTGTTAGTTCAGACCTTAACGAAGTACAGGGGGTGTCGTGTGTTTGTGTGTTGGGGTGCGATGGAGCTCAGCACTCTGTGGATGTCCTGCCTCCCCCACACTGTGGAGCCCAGCAGAGACGGCCGCTCCCGCACACATACACCCAACACGTTCTGGAGGTCCCGCACAGAACTCTGGAACTGCTGTAAGAGAAAACAGAGACACGATTAAAAAAATGTAATGTGGATATTTAATGTAGCTAAACAGGTTCCAGTACAAAGTGCTTTTGGTCATCTTCTCATGTTCCTCTAGCAATGTCATCGGTGAATCCTGACAGCAGTCAGTCAGTTGTTTCTCCAGAATCTCCCTGAAGAATGTTATATAGCATAAAAGTAACTTTTTCATCATGAGTGTTAAAGCATTCCTATATAGTGCGACTCTATTAAATGCTTCCTATAGTGCGACTGTATTAAACCCTTCCTACAGTGTGACTCTAGTAAACCCTTCCTATAGTGAGACACTGTTAAACCCTTCCTATCGTGCGACTCTGTTAAATCCCTCCTATAGTGCAACTCTGTTAAATCCTTCCTATAGAAAGACTCTATTAAACCCTTCCTGTAGTGCGACTCTGTTAAACCCTTCTTGTAGTGCAACTCTTTTCAAGCCTTCCTATGGTGCGACTCTATTCAAGCCTTCCAATAGTGCAACTCTATTCAAGCCTTCCTATAGAGAGACATTATTAAACCCTTCTTGTAGTGTGACTTTTTTGAACCTTTCCTATAGTGAGACTGTTAAACCCTTCCTATAGTGTGACGGTAAAACCTTTCCTGTATCGCGACTCTGTTAAACCCTTCCTATAGTGCGACTCTATTAAACCTTTCCTATAGTTCGACTCTATTAAACCCTTCCTATATAGCGCAACTCTTAAAGCATTCCAATATAGCGCGACTCTATTAAAGCATTCCTATATAGTGCGACTCTATTAAAGCATTCCTATATAGTGTGACTCTATTAAACCCTTCCTATATAGCGTGACTCTATTAAAGCATTTCTATATAGTGTGACTCCATTAAACCCTTCCTATAGTGCGACTCTATTAAACCCTTCCTATAGTGCGACTCTATTAAACCCTTCCTATAGTGCGACTCTATTAAACCCTTCCTGTAGTGCAACTCTATTAAACCCTTCCTGTAGTGCGACTCTATTAAACCCTTCCTATAGTGCGACTCTATTAAACCCTTCCTGTAGTGCGACTCTATTAAACCCTTCCAATAGTGTGACGGTAAAACCTTTCCTGTATTGCGACTCTGTTAAACCTTTCCTATAGTGCTACTCTGTTAAACCCTTCTTGTAGTGCAACTCTGTTAAACCTTTCCTGTAGTGCGACTTTTTTAAACCCTTCCTATAGTGTGACTCTGTTAAACCTTTCCTATAGTGCGACTCTATTAAACCCTTCCTATATAGCGTGACTATTAAAGCATTTCTATATAGTGCGACTCCATTAAACCCTTCCTGTAGTGCGACTCTATTAAACCCTTCCTATAGTGCGACTCTATTAAACCCTTCCTATAGTGCGACTCTATTAAACCCTTCCTGTAGTGCGACTCTATTAAACCCTTCCAATAGTGTGACGGTAAAACCCTTCCTGTACTGCGACTCTGTTAAACCTTTCCTATAGTGCGACTTTTTTAAACCCTTCCTATAGTGTGACTCTGTTAAACCTTTCCTATAGTGCGACTCTATTAAACCTTTCCTATATAGTGCGACTGTATTAAACCCTTCCTATATAGTGTGACTCTATTAAACCCTTCCTGTAGTGCGACTCTATTAAACCCTTCCTATATAGTGTGACTCTATTAAAGCATTCCTATATAGTGCGACTCTATTAAACCCTTCCTGTAGTGCGACTCTATTAAACCCTTCCTATATAGTGTGACTCTATTAAACCCTTCCTATATAGTGCGACTCTATTAAACCCTTCCTATATAGTGTGACTCTATTAAACCCTTCCTGTAGTGCATGTAGTGTAGAGCATTCCTATAGTGCGCATTTGTTGTTGTACTGTGTGGGCGTTTGATACTTATATAATCATATTTATTTTGATGAATGTATTTGTACGTCCTCAGGTTGGAAAGCCTGTCTAGAGTGGTATTAAATTAATTGTGTTTTCATTGATTTACCAGACTTTTATTCAACTATTACAACTCGGCCCACAGCCTGTTACGGTTCACCTGCCCATGGGGCAAGTTGTAACGTTTTCCTCGCTCTGCTTTCTGCTTAAAGTTCATAAACAGGAAACAAAGTGCATGTTTTCATGTGTAGCAGAGATCTGTAGGCTCACCTGCAGGGCCGCTCCAGTGCCTGTGAGCCGTGTGATTGGCCGCATACCATTGGTTTTGGGGATGAATCGTATGCGGGACGTTACTGTGGTTTTGGGCAGCGACACCACCTGCTGGGGGGTCAGAGCCTCCCACTGGCCTTTAGAGAGGTGTTCCCTGTAAAAGTATCCACAATGCATAACACAAACCACCAAAGCACCAGATAAGTAAACTGAAGATCTTATTTTGGACGTTGGAAGAGCTAAACGTAAAAGAGGATGACCAGCTACAAGATGGACATAGATGATTAGAATCGTTAACCAGCCATTCAGAAGCCTGAAGACCCGAAGAGAAGACAGGACATTCTGGAGGAACATCATCTATATGGTCACCAGGATTCGGAAATGACTTGATGGCACTTGATAATGATAATAAGTAATAGTAAGAGTAAGTTACAGATTATTAGCTTATAGGTTTGTGGAAATGGGCAAACCAACCAACTAGCTTGCTATCCAACTACTGTTAGCTTATAAACTATGTTGCATAAATTTCCTTATTACTGGAATACCCAGCATTCTGCTTGCTTAAAAGACATTAGACGACAGCTACCTGTCTTCACTTTGTCTCCAACTACAAGATCCAGCAGTAGGTTACGGGCAGAACAGACAACGAATCGCTAAATTTATGCTACTTATAAAGCTCTAGTCTGTGTTGAAGGATCTTGAGCATAGCTGTTCTGATGTGAGATATGAGTATGACAGGTTACACACTCTTTCTCGTCTCCTTTCTTATTGATAACTTACTATCGATCACCCTTAAAGCAACATCCAGATCTTGAGATGAATTTCCTAGTTCTGGTCAGGGTGATGAGTCTTGAGTTGTACAACTCTTTAACCCTCTGTGGGCTGAGGTCTTTCTCTCGATTCATTCATATCCTCTGAAAATTTCCTCTAAAGGCTCTTCATATAACATGATCCTCATATGTTTCATATCTAAATGCTCCGTTATCTTCATCACTACTTTCCAAAACCACTGCAGCTTCAGCAGCTGTAAACTCTCTGCACGCCGTTTCACATGAGTCTCCGATGTGGACTGAATGAAGAATGAAGGGTTTCCGGTGTGATGGTCAGTCCTTAGTGATTTCCTGAGTGTCCATTGGTCAGTTTCACACAGAATGTAGATGGACACACCAATCCACCAGTTCAACACAGTGAGAGGCAGATGACGTGTATCTCAGCCCCTCTTCATAGGCTCATAACTCCGGATGTGAGTCTCGTATGATCTCGTGATGAGATGGAATGGAAAGGGCGACTCTACAGATTCAGGAAGTGTCTGAACTGGATTTCTGAGCTGGATCATCACAAAGACACACAAACAGATTCAGAAGTATTGTATTTGACGCACGGGCGAGTCCGTTGACCGCACAGGGTTAATGTTTTGTGTTTTTCCAAAACATAAAACACACAAAATAAAGAGAAACAGCAGCTTTTCCAAATAGTATTAGGACTCAGTACCTGAAGGCCAGCTCCTGCAGTTTGGTCCAGACGTCCCGTCTGTAGAAGCGCAGCGCGTGTTTATGGCCCATACTCTCAGTGACGTAGAACATGGCCTTAACTAGACCCAGCACAAAGCTGTCCAGCATCCAGAGCAGAAACTGACCCAGAATCCACTCCCTGTAGCGCTGCTCGCTGGGACAGTGACCTGGACAAGAGACAAACTGCAGACTTCACCAGCTGCTGCTAATGTGTTTAGCTTAATGCTAATACACTTTAGTCCATGTTCATAGATAACAGTGTATCAGTTATCAGTAACAGTGTCAGAAACCACTGAACATCTCCACACGTTTTGAGACAAGCATGTAACCAGGCATGCAGTTAGCAATATGTTAATTAGCGTACAAATGTTTCCATTACTTGTTAGCTACATTAGCCTCGTAGCTCCAGTGCTAAAAACTTTACATTTTGTTTTTTAACAAAATATTGCCTTAGAAAAGTATTTATGGTTTAGATGTTTATTTATCATTTAGTGCAAAACTGTAGTTGGTCTAATAGCAACAACAACAAAAAGATACACACTTGGAGAAAACTGACACACTGAACACTCACACAGCTGAGATTAGAGTTAGCGGTTGAGGATTCTGTTCTGCACAATGTATATAAATGTAAAATATGAGGTATTTATAATTGGCCCGTGCGACAGTGAACCTCCTGGTTCCTCATGGTGGGTAACTGGAGAACTCCGTGAGAACTTACGTTTTTGGTGTCCGATCCAGCTGCAGTCGCTCACCTTCATCCTCCACATCACCTGAGCCAGCGACAGCCTCTCGAACTTCCCTAGACGCAGGAAATGCTTTACGCGGGACAAGAAGTTCAGCAGGTTCTGCTCAGAGCCCCAGAGTTCGTGCGGAACGACGTACCGTACACACTCCCTGATGAACAGGTAGACCCTGTAGAAGGAGCAGTGGGAGACCAGCAGCGACGACAGGTCTTCCTTCCCCTCCCTGCCTGAGCACTTCTTACGCAAGAAGTGGGCGTAGGGGCACTTCCTGTGTTGCCGTAGCAACTGGCTGAAGAGGGGCACCATTCTGAAAAAACGTTTGGGAAGCTTTCTTGGTTTCGGTTCTGCTCCGGACAAACCCTGGAGGAAGATTATCCTCGCAAGCTCCGCCCCTTGAAGGCGCCTGGCTCCGCCCACTCCTCTCCGTATCTTCCGGTTGAGGAGGAAGCCCTTCATGCCGCGGCCGCAATAGAGCATGCTGAGTACCCGGATGGAGCAGTGGGAGGGGCGTGGAGGAGGCTGGTCACTCGGCTTCCAACTGGATGATCCCTCTTTAGCGGCTGGGCCTGATGAGGCTGACTCCACCCACTCTGACTGGACAGAATCTGTTCTGTTCGTCTCTACTGGAGGCTCTTCAGGATGACTGTTGGCATGTTCTGCGACATCAAGACATTTCTTCTTGGCTTCACTACCCTCGTCCTCTCTTCTTTCGCTTTCTTCTCCATCTCCTCCTCCTCTTTTTCTCTTTCTAGTGCTTTCTACATCTTGGGCTCCTTCTTCTACTTTGTCTATCTTTCTCTTTTTAGTGTTGGCTGGTTTTCTACCTTTGCTTGCCTCGGTCTCGGTTCCACAGGTGGTGGAACCACTTTGTCCTTCTTCATTCTTTCTCTTTTTGCTAGTTTTTCTCACTCTAGGCTTGTTTCCCCCTCTCTTGCTGCTGCCACAGGCGACAGGTGGGCCGGAGGTGAGGAAGAACCCAGACCAGGTGCGCACAGGTACCAGGTCATAAACAGGCACGCCGCAAACCTGCACCAGACAGGAAGGGGGCGCAGTGACGAACACCGAGCACTCTTGCAGCAGGTATTTGGTGACCTCAGTGCCCAGCCGCTGGTTGATCTTGGCCCACAGCTCGCTACCACTGATGAAGGCAGCACTTTGGGAGACAGCACCGTGGAACTTGAAGGGGTCCCAGTTCCCCTGCCGGTCGCTATAGTGATAGCCAAAGCTTATGACGTTCCTCTTCTTCTTCCTCTTCATGTGGTTCAGCACGAACGCCAACACCTCGGGCAGCGTGGCCAGCTGGGAAGAAAAGGAGAATGAAGTTTGCTTAGCGGACATCCTCAACGTTTAATCTAGGGGAGGGATGTAAGAGCAGGGATTGTGGATGAATATATATGAATTAACGTTAATTCCTTTTTTACATAATTTATACATCATAAAATAGATGTCGTGAACACATATCTAATTATTAAATGTCAGGCATATGCATGACCTATAGATCATACACGTATGTCTGATACATGTCTGTTACAGCAAATTAAATTGTTGAAATGTTTCAGGAAACAATATTTTAATTTCTTTCATGTTTGATGATTTTATTTCATAGCTTCCCAGTTAGCATCCTTGGGTTTGTCCTGGCCCAGTATATGGCTGGGTCCTTGGCCCAAACCTGGAACACACACTGTAGAGTGAGTAGAACTAATGAATGTGGCCCAAATCGGATCCAACTACATTGTTGGTCCACAATATTCACACCAGAATTGGCCCACAAATACAAACATGAGGTAAAACCATATGAAACTGCCCAGCATCTGGCCCTATTCTGGCCTGCATGCCTAACATCTGCCAGGTAGTCAACCACCACTCATGCATGAAAGCCAGAATCGGCCCAAAACTGGGTTACAATGTGCATGTTTTAAAGTTCAGTTAATAGCTGTTATACTCCATTTCACCACTCGTGTATGAAAGCTAGAATCGGCCCAAAACTGTCTGCTATTTGGAAATTACTCTGAAAATCAAGCAAAAAATTTTTTTTTATTTATTTAACACACATTAAATACACTAACTTAACTCTAAAGTTAAACCTCAAGCTGTGTCTGTGTTTTTGTTTACTATAGAAGACCAACATGCCCGGCTATGACCGACCAGGGGAAAGAAGCAGGAGCGGAACAGATGCATGTAGGAAACAGCACAGGTTTTTGGGTTGCTGTAGTGCCCTGCATGCTTAAAATCCTGCTGTTTCCAAACGCAGTTTCACTACAGCAGCTGTCTGCAGCCTGTTCTGTGCTGGATCTAAGCTCTAGAATAAAATGGCCTTGTGATGTTAGGCTGACATGCAGAACTGCCAAACCCACAAACACCTCCAGCTCATTCCTGCAGAACCCACAGCATCTCTCACCACAGCTGACAACTCAACAAGACACGAAACACAAATACTCATCTGAGGCCAGCCTCGGCCTGCCCCGGCCTGCCTCAGCCTGCCTCGGCCTACAAACGCTCAGAATGAACGGCTGGAGGAGGAAGACAGAACTCTGGAGATACGGCACCAAAACACTGCATTAACTGCTGTGTCTGATCCGCTCGCACCAGTGCAACACACATTAACACACCACCACCACGTCAGTGTTACATAAAGGGCTGAGAATGACCCACCACCCAAATAATACCTGCTCTGTGGGGGTCCATGGGGGTCCTGATCACAGAAGAACAGGGTAACAAAGTATCAAAGAAACAGATGGACTACAGTCTGTAACTGTAGAACTACAGAGTGAAACTGTATGGTCAGTGGAGCTGATACAGTGGACAGTGAGTGTGTATTAATCCTCGTTTCTGTTTGTTGGTCAGCCTGAATCCTGTAAGTGTGCCGGATCTTACGTGCCTGAACTTCGCTTTCCTACATACTCTCAGTTTTCCACCTACTTGTTTAGTGCCGCTCTTCATGTAAGTATGGATGCTTGTTTAGCTGTTTAGCCTATTTTTCCAAGCATTTTTAGATCCTCCTGATATCTCATCATTTCCTAATTATTATTTTTTTTTCATATGCCTAAAACAGCTCCGTCAGCCTCCTGCCTTCCGTCTCACCCCTGTTTCAGCTGTGTTTCTCTGGCTCAGTAGATGACATCATATAGGAGTGAGCTGCAGCCTTAATAAAGGTGGTTCTTCAATGGTTCTTTAGTAAAGATAATGGCTCTATATAGAACCATGAACATTCAAAGAACCCTCTGCATGAATAAGGATTCTTCGCATGGTGAAAGGGTTCTTCAGATTGATGGAGAATGTGTTGTAGATGGTTCTATAAAGAACCTTTCTGTTACAAGTTTGACTTCGTCACAGTAGCAGAACCCTTTTTAGTGCTATATAGAATCTCCATCAATCCATCAAGCTGAAGAACCATTTCACCATGCTAACAACCCTTTGAGCAGTTTCAATTCCGCAACGTCTTCTTACACTTCTCTGTCTAATACGCAGTGGAAGGCGGACGTTAGCAGGCTAGTCAGCTCTGGACCAGTCGTTAGTTCCTCCTGGACTGGGCGCTTTAATTTATTGTGAACGTTTTAAAATTAGCTCACTGAAATTTTAAACAGTTCATCAAAAAATATTAATTGTAGTAGACTGGATGGTCAGACGACAGCAGAAACTGAGTTTCTCAGCAGCTTTTGACTTCCGAACACACGGACAGAATGCGTTACCATGGAGACTTGGTGGGCGGAGCCTCCTGTGCCGCTGCTTTCCATTGGCTGGACAAGGCTGTAGGCTGGACTTCAGTTCATGCACATGCTTTAGAAACAGTGAGAAACCAGCTATGTGTGGTTATTACAACAAAACAACTGCCGAGGTTTGGAAATTAGAGCCAAAACAGTGTTCAGTGTCAGCGTTCACTCCTGGAAAGGCATTCCGGAGCGTTCTGGTGCATACTGGACCATCCCCACCCCTGCTGAGCGGTCCTTTTGGCTGAACCGTCTGAATCGTGAGGCGATCAGTCATGTGCCCGTACCTGCCAGCGCATCTCAGATGACAAAACCTCCGTCTGCCAAGACCTTCAGGTTCCAGCAGGTCCAGGATGCGAGATTTCCCAGATTACCTTGTTTACAGGAGTCACAGAGGCAGAGCCTCGCAGCAGATCGTCACCTGGACTTCCACGTGGGAACTAAGCCAGCACGATGAACAGGTACTTTCTCATGAGACTGCAGCTGTTCTTACTCCACAGATATCAGCGTTTAAACGATTTTCTAGAATGTTCTGCATGATAGTCCTTTTAACAGTTCCGGGTTCTTTCTGCTAACAGGGTTGCACTGCTGGGTTATGCTGCTTCCGCTTAGACAACAACAGTGACAGGGCTGAGTAGAGCATGTACAGCTTATCAAAGAGATCGAGCTAAACACAAACGGCTTTATCTCGGCGTGGATGGCTTTCAGCTCTGATCCCCTCTCAGAAGCGGTCTGGATCTGAGACAGAGGGTGCCTGGGGTTCAGCAGATTTCAGTTCTCTGGTTTGTGGAAAGCATCTTCAGTGGCGTTGAGGACCATGATGATGTAACACGCCCCCCGGCCGGTATGTGTGTGTGTGTGTGTGTGTGTGTGTGTGTGTGTGTGTGTGTGTGTTTAGCTTTTTGCTACTTCATTTTTAGCAAGATGTAACTCCACGTTCTATATCACCCTAAATCCACAGCTAATTCCAAGGATAATCCCACAGCTAACTCTATGGCTAACTCCACGGGTAACTCCAAGGCTAATTACACAGCTAATTACACAGCTGACCCCACAGCCAACTCTGTAGTTAAATTTCCTAGATCCACAGCTAACTCCATAGATCCACAGCTAACTCCATAGATCCACAGCTAACTCCATAGATCCACAGCTAACTCCACAGCTAACTCCACAGTTAACTCCACAGCTAACTCCACAGATAAATTCACAGCTAACTCCACACTTAACTCCATAGATCCACAGCTAACTCCACAGCTGACTCCACAGCTCCACAGCTAAATTCAGAGCTAACTCCACACTTAACTCCATAGATCCACAGCTAACTCCACAGCTGACTCCACAGCTCCACAGCTAAATTCACAGCTAACTCCACACTTAACTCCATAGATCCACAGCTAACTCCAGTTAACTCCACAGCTAACTCCACAGCTAACTCCACAGCTAACTCCATAGCTGACTCCACAGCTGACTCCACAGCTCCACAGCTAAATTCACAGCTAACTCCACACTTAACTCCATAGCTCCACAGCTAACTCCACAGATAACTCCACAGTTAACTCCATAGCTAACCCCATAGCTCCATAGCTAACTCCACCGTTAACTCCACAGTAAACTCCATAGCTCCACAGTTGACTCCACAGTTAACTCCACGGCTCCACAGCTAACTCCACAGCTGACTCCATACCTCTACAGATAACTCCACAGTTAACTCCATAGCTAACCCCATAGCTCCATAGCTAACTCCACCGTTAACTCCACAGTTAACTCCATAGCTCCACAGTTGACTCCACAGTTAACTCCACGGCTCCACAGCTAACTCCACAGCTGACTCCATACCTCTACAGCTAACTCCACAGCTAACTCCATAGCTCCACAGCTAACTCCACAGATAACTCCACAGCTGACTCCATAGCTCCACAGCTAACTCCACAGCTGACTCCACAGCTAACTCCATAGCTCCACAGCTAACTCCACAGTTAACTCCATAGCTCCACAGTTGACTCCATAGCTCCACAGATAACTCCACAGTTAACTCCATAGCTCCACAGTTGACTCCACAGTTAACTCCATAGCTCCACAGATAACTCCACAGTTAACTCCATAGCTCCACAGATAACTCCACAGCCAACTCCACAGCTCCACAGTTAACTCCACAGCTAACTCCACAGCTCCATAGTTAACTCCACAGCTAACTCCACAGCTAACTCCACAGCTAACTCCACAGCTAACTCCACAGCTCCACAGTTAACTCCATAGCTAACTCCATAGCTCCACAGCTGACTCCACAGCTAACTCCATAGCTAACTCCATAGCTCCACAGTTAACTCCATAGCTAACTCCATAGCTCCACAGTTAACTCCATAGCTAACTCCATAGCTCCACAGTTAACTCCACAGCTGACTCCATAGCTCCACACATAGCTAAAACGCATCACTGCTGCCAGAACGCATCACTGCTTTCCATTAAAATTTACATGGAGGCTGCTCTGGAGACAGATGGTAGTTTCCAAAATAAAAGTCCGACTGCACTCGTTTAAGCAGAAAAATCTCTGCTCTAGACACCAGCACTTCAGGAACTGGAGCTGATGTAGAGTCTGGAGTCATTTTGTGGTTATTTTTCATTGATTTACTCTTTCAATCTAAGAGTAAATCAATGAGAAATAACCACAAATCAAACAAATGCAGACAAACTTATTTTTGTAAAATAAACTAAGGCTAATATTACAACACCATTTTGAATTTGATGCCAACAACACGTCCCAAAAAAGTTGGGACGGGGGAACAAAAGGCTGGTAAAGTTGTGTAATGCTAACACCTGGTGGTTGATTGGCAACAGGTCAGTAACATGATTGGGTATAAAGAGCATCTCAGAGAGGCGGAGTCTTTCAGAAGTAAAGATGAGGAGGGGTTCACCACTCTGTGAAAGACTGCACCATCAAATAGTGCAACAATTCAAGAATAACGTTTCTCAACATAAAATATCAAAGAACTTCTGCTTTTCATCATCTACAGTACAGAATATCATTAAAAGATTCAGAGAATCTGGAGAAATCTCTGTATGTAAGGGACAAGGCCAAAAACCAGTATTTGCTGGCCGTGATCTTTGGGCCCTCAGACAGCACTGCATTAAAAACAGACATGATTCTGTAGTGGAAATCACTGCATGGGCTCAGAAACACTTCTGAAAACCACTGTCTGTGAAAACAGTTCATCACTGCATCCACAAATGCAAGTTAAAACTCTAAAACGCAAAGAAGAAACTGTACATAAACAGGATCCAGAAACACTGCCACCTTCTCTGGGCCTGAGCTCATTTAAAATGGACTGAGGGGAAGTGGAAAAGTGTCCTGTGGTCTGACGAATCAACATTTGAAATTCTTTATGGAAATCATGGACACTGTGTCCTCCGGGCTAAAGACACCCAGCTTGTTATCAGTGCACAGTTCAAAAGCCAGTATTCATGATGGTGTAGGGGGCATTAGTGCACATGGCATGAGTGACGTACACATCTGTGAAGGCACCATTAATGCTGAACGATATATACATGTTTTGGCAACATATGCTGCCATCCAGACGACGTCTTTTTCAGGGAAGGCCTTGATTATTTCAGCAAGACAATGTCAAACCACATTCTGCATGTATTACAGCAGCATTGCTCCGTATTAAAAGAGTCCAGGTGCTAAACTGACCTGCCTGCAGTCCAGAACTGTCACCACTGAAAACATTTGCCTCATTATGAAATGAAAAATACGGTAAAGGAGACCCTGAACTGATGATCAGCTGAAATCCTGTATCAAACAAGAACAGGAAAACATTTCACTTTCTAAACTACAGCAGTGTCTCCTCAGTTCCCAAACACTTACAGAGTGTGTTAAAGAAGAGGTGATGAAACACAGTGGTAAACAGGCCCCCGTCCCAACTTTTTTGGAACATGTTGTTGACATCAAATTCAAATGTTGACAATGCTGTTGCTGATGCTGTGCTAGATTAATTACAGCTGTATAACCAGCTTTATTTATAATAGTACTGTTAACATTATTCACTAAACTAATTCACTAAGATAAACAGAATGGACCCAGTAAACTGGGCTGTGAGTGGAAAATGAGTGAGGAAATGTGACATTTTGTCTGACACTTTGCGTAAGCCCCACTGGGCTACTGGGAAAACACTAAATAAAGAGCCATGCTTTGCTGGCATTGGACCAACAGAGGCGCACTGTCCTCTTACCATCTGGGATCTGCACCGTGATAGTACGCTGAGGGGTCGCCCTGCTAGGAAAACCAGCATTGACCAGCATGGCTGGTCACCAGCTAAACCAGTTCCCTGGTTCAGTACCATGTTGTGTTTTGATGCTTGGTATGCTGGTCAACCAGCATGACCATGCAGGGGTGACCAGCTAAACCAGAATCTGACCATCCTAAACCAGTATAGACCACCATGAAATGCTTGCTAATCTGTGCTGTTTTGTTCAGCAGGTACTTTATCTGCAGTGGAGAGTGAAGTACCTGGTACCAAAAGCGAGTCGGGTCGGGTCGAGTCGGTACCATGTGGTGGAAAAGCGCCATTAGTGAACGCTGGGCTACAACCAGACGTGTGCATTTCCACGCTTTTTGGCCCCGACGGCCCACCGTAGTAAACAAACACGTCGCTAGGCAGCGCGCCATTACTATAGCAACGGAGAGTCAACGCGTCAGCCGGCAATCACCGTATACAAACAACGTTAAAGCGATCAATCACAGACGATCAATCACAGACGATCAATCACAGACGATCAATCACAGGCGATCAGAAACTCGAGGCGCACACAGACCTGAGCGCGGCTGGCGGCGCGAGGCACGCGCGTGTCCTCCGAGCACACCACGAGCCCCGCCACGAGGTTCCTGAGGCGCGTGGGGTCCGAGTCGAGGAGCAGCGCCGCCGCGCGGCCATCCGAGTACTGCACGCTTTCTGAGAAGGAGAGCAGCGTCTGGACGGAGGAGTACACACTCTGCAGCACACACAGCATATCACACACACACACACACTATCACCACACTGCCACCCACAGACCACACTACCCGCACGCGCTCACACGCCGGAGCAACATCCGGTTCGGACGGGACAACGGGATTGGAGGAGAGCTCGGCACCCCTTAAAGTCACAGAGACTTTATTAGAAACGCCTACGTTGTGCTTCCACTAAGTGGCCACTTTATTAGAAACACCCACCTTGTGCTTCCACTAACTGTCCACTTTATTAGAAACACCCACCCTGTGCTTCTACTAACTGGCCACTTTATTAGAAACACTCTTCCTGTGCGTCTGCTAACTGGCCACTTTATTGGAAACACCCACCTTCGGTGGTCAGTTTCGGAGCCCAGGGCTGCTGTAGAGGAGATGTTTTTTGGGTGGTGGACTATCAGCTAAAAACAACAGTGACTCTGTGGTCAGAAACTGACCATTGCTGTAAGTCTAGAACTGGGTTCTCCACCTTCTCCAGCTCAAAGCCCAACTATTTATCAGTAGAAAGCTTGAAGGCTCACTGGGCTCAACTTTTCTCCTTAAAAAGCTCTTTTCTGGAAATTCTGTCTGTGTTGTTCCTAGACGTGAGGGGCACAGTGCTGCCTTTAGGCGCTGTTGTTGAAGGCTTGTTCTCATATTGTTTACCATCTGAAAGCATTTTATATTTCACTGATATTTAGGACAAAGTGCCCTCACATGCCCACTATGGACCCCCGGCCCTCCCTCAGTATTGGCCCGAGGACCATCAAACAGTACTTTGCAGTCCATTTGTGGTCTAGAGCAGGATTTCTCAATGTGGGCCCTGAGGCGGAGAAGGTTGAGAACCCCGGGTCTAGAGGACGACCATTAGTGACGTCATTATTATGTCCATCATAAGCGTCTTTAGTGGAAATTTAAACCATCAACCGAGCTTCATTTCGGTTCTCAATCGCAGAGCCGGCTGGATTTCTCAGAGGCGACAGCACAAAAATCTAAATCTGTCAATTTGAATTTATATCTCTGCTAGTTGCGCAAACGTTCCTGTCGACATTTCTTGTGGAACCTTCACTAGTATGTATGTTCCTAAACATCTAAACATACCGTCGCTGTCGTAGCACCACAATGGCACCTTTACAGGAGCAGGGAAAAACACTCTTAACCTATAATGGAAGTCAATGGAACCGGATTTTTTCCAAGTAACTCCGTCTCTGTTGGTTTGTTTATCATGAACCTTTAACACAATGCAGTGGAGAACTGGAGATTTCAAACAAGCACAAAACGACAAAGGTGTAGATGTACTGTAATGTGGATACTATAAAAACCTTTAAACATGTATTTAAATATTAAATATTTCATGACTCCACACAGCGTCATATAATATTCTATTCAAATACCTGCTTAATCTTAAATATCAGTCATAAAACACAGTTCTTCATCCAAAATCATTTTTATTATGATAAAGCTCTAAAAGTCTCACCACAAAGTGTGAGTGTGCACTTAAACAGGGATCAGATCTGGATCAATGACATTTTACATACATTCATCATTTACAGGAGAATAACCAAACAGAAAAATATCAAAAATAAATAGGAATCAAATCCTGCACCTCTAATGCAGTCGATCAGCCAGGACACGCCTGGAGTCTGAAGGTCTGTTTCTTTAGTTTCACTACAGAAGCTATGAGGATTATAAGGATTATAATTAATCTACGTAATGAAAGCTTAATTAGCATCACCGGTTAGACCTGATTCTGTGGTTTCTGACTCTGTATGACTCACTGTTATCTATAAACATGGACTGACGTACGTTAGCATAACTCAGAACAGTGGCATCTTGAAGTTAACTTGAAGCACTGTTAGCTGTACTGTTAGCCACATTAGCCTCCAGTACAAAGCTAACGACACAATCTTCAGACTACAGATGTCTTGGCTGATCGGCTAATTTATCTCCAAGTTATTGCTTAGCATGTTAGCACGAGTCCGTCGTTTTAGACGGCTAGCAGTTCGGCGGGCGGTGGTCTGAGGGGAATCTGACCCAGCGTGAATCGTTTGGCTGTGAACTCCTTCAGCTCCTCTGGTGTGAGTTCACTCTGAGGGGTGAAGAGGTTTTCTCCAGAAGCCCCAGCAGCTCCCGAACCCCCACCAAACCCACCGCTACTGCTGCTGCCTACCTGGCTGAACAGATTGCCACCTGCTGCTGGAGCGGAGGAGCCAAAGCCGCCTCCAAAGCCGCCTCCTGTAGATGCAGTGGCTGTGGAGGGGGCGAAGCTGAATCCTGCAGCAGATCCGAACCCTCCGGAAGAGCTTTTACTCGCTGCAGGAGGAGCAAAGGAGAAGGCGGAAGCGGAGGGAGCGGAGGACGGAACAGACGAACCAAAACCACCAAATCCAGAGGAACTGGGCTGGGAACTTCCTGATCCAAATCCAGGCGAGGTGGGCTGGGCACCACCTGATCCGAATCCAGACGAACTGGCCTGGGTTCCTGCTGATCCAAATCCGGTGTTGGACGGGGCAAAGCTGAAACCAGCACTGCTCTGGGCACCGGATCCAAATCCTGGGGGGAAAAATAAAGATTCAAATACAAATACAACTTAAAGTCAAATACAAATCTCTCACCACGGTCTAGACGTGCATCAGTGCACTGCATCGACTGTGATTAATCACAGCAGTCGTGCTAATCCTGGCCCTGGAGATCTACCACCTTGCAGAGTTTAGCTCCAACCCCAATCTAGCACACCTGATTAGGTAATGAAGGGCTTGTGATGTGCTGGATGGAGTTTCAGGACCAGGATTCGGTTCCTCTTATTTACAACAACATTAAAGCCGCTACAATATTTCCCTCCATTTTCAAAAAAGAAACCATACCGTAAACAGCAGTGTTTGGAAAACCTCGACGTTCAAACAGGATCACAAAAACTATGAGCACAACAGCTCAGTAGGTGGAGATAATACCCCATAAAATTTGACGATACACACCTCAAGAAGAAAACTGAGCCCACTGCGCAAAATAAAGAGCATGCCGCAAAGCTAACGCAGAGATTTTCTGACAGCTTGACCTCCATAATTCAATATCACACACACAATCAAAGTTCAATTCTTGCCAGAAAACAAAGCTTTAAAAAGCTAGGAGCACCTTTCAGTTGCTATGGGTTTGTTGATGCCGCCATGGATACGTCACCGTCTCGGAAACATCCACACAATCCTGATCAGGCCTCCATTTGAATAAGAGTTAGGATTTTTTAAATTCTAACTTTGCTTAAGGACCATCAAGTCATATATCTTTAGAATTACTGAGGTATGTTTATTGTTTGCAGTCAAGGTGACGCCCTGTCGAGTCAAGTCAAAGTTTATTTTTATTGCGCTTTTTACAACAGGTGTTGTCACAAAGCAGAAAAATCCAGGTCCAAACCCTCATGAGCATCACCAATGGTGACAGTGGCAAGGAAAAACTCCGTAAGAGCAAGAGGAAGAAACCTTGAGAGGAACCAAGACTCAGAAGGGGAACCATCCTCCTCTGGTCGACACCGGATAGCAAACAATAACACAAATTGATTAACAAACTATCTGTCGACTGTAAACAGTGGTGGGGTTAGAGCTAGGATCATGGTGAGGGTTGGGTTTAGGTTTTGGATTGAGGTTAAGGGTAGGGTTGGGATTAGAGCAGGTTTAGAGTTAAAAAAAAAAAAAATGGTCATTTTAGTAGATATTTAGTTGCATGCAACCTGAAGGTAAATTAAGTACCTACAAAGCATCTGAAGTGGACTATCTAAATAAAGTGCTAACCAATTTTTTTTCTTAAGAACGGTTGGTGAAAGAGGCCCACTGTTTATTACTGATCTATACTCACTTTTGTAATAAAGTAAACAGATTTATTGAGAAATCCTGCTTTGTTCTCAGGACCTACCTCCTATACTAAATCCAGAAGATGATGATGATGATGACGAAGACCCAAACCCTGATGATGAAGATGTGAGAAATCCTCCACCTGATGATGACTGTGGTCTTGGATTGCTTAACTCTGAAATCTGTGAAAATCAAAAACCAGTAAAAAAGATGCTTTTGAATGGACTCTGCTGTAATGCATTACAATCAGAATCAGTATCACTGTGTTGGCTACATACATTTGTAGGTTTAAGGGTTTTAGATTGTTCCCTACAGCAAAACTGAGTTGTTTCAGGGTTTTGGATCGTTTCCTGCAGTAAGACTGGGTTGTTTCAGGGTTTTGGATCGTTCCCTGCAATAAAATTGAGTTGTTTCAGGGTTTTGGATCGTTTCCTGCAGTAAGACTGAGCAGTTTCAGGGTTTTGGATCGTTCCCTGCAGTAAAATTGAGTTGTTTCAGGGTTTTGGATCGTTCTCTGCGGTAAGACTGAGCAGTTTCAGGGTTTTGGATCGTTTCCTGCAGTAAGACTGAGTTGTTTCTGGATTTCGGATCATTCCCTGCAGTAAAATTGACTTGTTTCAGGGTTTTGGATCGTTCCCTACAGTAAGACTGAGTTGTTTCAGGGTTTTGGATCATTTCCTGCAGTAAGCCTGAGGTATTTGAGGGTTTTTGGATCGTTCCCTGCAATAAGACTGAGCAGTTTCAGGGTTTTGGATCGTTCCCTGCAGTAAAATTGACTTGTTTCAGGGTTGTGGATCGTTCCCTGCAGTAAGACTGAGCAGTTTCAGGGTTTTGGATCGTTCCCTGCAGTAAAATTGACTTGTTTCAGGGTTGTGGATCGTTCCCTGCAGTAAGACTGAGCAGTTTCAGGGTTTTGGATCGTTCCCTGCAATAAAATTGAGTTGTTTCAGGGTTTTGGATCGTTTCCTGCAGTAAGACTGAGCAGTTTCAGGGTTTTGGATCGTTCCCTGCAGTAAAATTGAGTTGTTTCAGGGTTGTGGATCGTTCCCTGCAGTAAGACTGAGTTGTTTCTGGATTTCGGATCGTTCCCTGCAGTAAGATTGACTTGTTTCAGGGTTGTGGATCGTTCCCTGCAGTAAGATTGAGTTGTTTCTGGATTTCGGATCGTTCCCTGCAGTAAAATTGACTTGTTTCAGGGTTTCGGATCGTTCCCTGCAGTAAGACTGAGCAGTTTCAGGGTTTTGGATCGTTCCCTGCAGTAAGACTGAGTTGTTTCAGGGTTTTGGATCGTTCCCCGCAGTAAAACTGAGCAGTTTCAGGGTTTTGGATCGTTTCCTGCAGTAAGACTGAGTTATTTCAGGGTTTTGGATCGTTCCCTGCAGTAAAATTGACTTGTTTCAGGGTTTTGGATCGTTCCCTGCAGTAAGACTGAGCAGTTTCAGGGTTTTGGATCGTTCCCTGCAGTAAAATTGAGTTGTTTCAGGGTTTTGGATCGTTCCCTGCAGTAAGACTGAGCAGTTTCAGGGTTGTGGATCGTTTCCTGCAGTAAGACTGAGTTGTTCCTGGATTTCGGATTGTTCCCTGCAGTAAAATTGAGTTGTTTCAGGGTTTTGGATCGTTCCCTGCAGTAAGACTGAGCAGTTTCAGGGTTTTGGATCGTTCCCTGCAGTAAAATTGACTTGTTTCAGGGTTTTGGATCGTTCCCTGCAGTAAGACTGAGCAGTTTCAGGGTTTTGGATCGTTCTCTGCAGTAAGACTGAGTTATTTCAGGGTTTTGGATCGTTCCCTGCTTTAAAATTGAGTTATTTCAGGGTTTTGGATCGTTCCCTACAGTAAAATTGAGTTATTTCAGGGTTTTGGATCGTTCCCTAGAGTAAAATTGAGTTGTTTCAGGGTTTTGGATCGTTCCCTGCAGTAAGACTGAACGGTTTCAGGGTTTTGGATCGTTCCCTGCAGTAAGACTGAGTTGTTTCAGGGTTTCGGATTGTTCCCTGCAGTAAGACTGAATTGTTTCAGGGTTTCGGATCATTCCCTGCAGTAAAACTGAGTTGTTTCAGGGTTTTGGATCGTTCCCTGCAGTAAAATTGAGTTGTTTCAGGGTTTTGGATCGTTCCCTGCAGTAAAATTGAGTTGTTTCAGGGTTTTGGATCGTTCCCTGCAGTAAGACTGAGCAGTTTCAGGGTTTCAGATCGTTCCCTGCAGTAAGACTGAGTTGTTTCAGGGTTTCAGATCGTTCCCTGCAGTAAGACTGAATTGTTTCAGGGTTTCGGATCGTTCCCTGCAGTAAGACTGAATTGTTTCAGGGTTTCGGATCATTCCCTGCAGTAAAACTGAGTTGTTTCAGGGTTTTGGATTGTTCCCTGCAGTAAAATTGAGCAGTTTCAGGGTTTTGGATTGTTCCCTGCAGTAAAATTGAGTTGTTTCAGGGTTTTGGATCGTTCCCTGCAGTAAGACTAAGCAGTTTCAGGGTTTCCATCACTCCCTGCAGTAAGACTGAGTTGTTTCAGGGTTTTGGATCGTTTCCTGTACTAAGACACCAAGTTATTTTAGGGTTTTGGATCATTCCCTGCAGTAAAACTGAGGTGTTTCAGGGTTTCCATCATTCCCTGCAGTAAGCCTGAGGTATTTGAGGGTTTCGGATCGTTCCCTGCAGTAAAACTGAGTTGTTTCAGGGTTTCGGATCGTTCCCTGCAGTAAAACTGAGTTGTTTCAGGTTTTCGGATCGTTCCCTGCAGTAAAACTGAGTTGTTTCAGGTTTTCGGATCGTTCCCTGCAGTAAAACTGAGTTGTTTTAGGGTTTTGGATCGTTCCCTGTACTAAGAGAGCAAGTTATTTCAGAGTTCTGGATCGCTTCCTGCAGTACGACTGTGGTGTTTGGTTATGTTCCTCACCATTGCGGTGCGTGTGGAGGGGTTCATGGTCCTCAGCTCCTGTACTCTGGATCTCCACTGATTCACCAGCTGTTGCACTGAGTTACCCTGAAACACACAACACAGGAAAGAAATCAGAAAAGCACTTTAAATTACAGGTCTGCACACCAAAGTCCAAACAAACTGAGGGTCAGTCTGGATAAGAGTGTCAAACTCTGTAAATGCACGTGTTAGAAGTGTTTATATGTAGTTTGCTTACGTAAGACTGTAAATTCCCAGAGGCTCTGCTGGTGTAGTACTCCAACCTCAACTCCTCAGGAGAAAGCTCCACGAATCCTGAACACATACACAGAGGGTCACCTCACTCTGTTCAAACACTGAATCTTACACAATAACAAAAAAATATTTCCACTATCATTTTGGTGATGCTGCTCTACTCCACTAATCCTGTAAAAGGAAAACCCCTTCTTTTGTTCTTTAACAGGTCTAATACAGAACTGACTGTTTGCAAGAGAAAGACTGACATGCCTATCAACCAATTACAATCCTCTCTAATGTTCCTTTCTTAATGAAGTGAAGGACAAACTCCTAAGAAACTCCTTAGAACAAACCTGCAGTGAGAACGGCGGAGGCAGTAAGTTCTTCAAAATTATTACAGTAAGAAATGGTGGAAAGGTGCAGGAAGGTGGTGGAAATAATCAGCTCAACGGATGTCAGTGACCACATAAACTGACCAATACGTGGCACCGGACAAACCGTGATGATCTTATGATGAGGAAAAAAAGCAACCCGTGATCTGACGGTATGTCCTAATGGTGCGTGAAGCTTAATTAAAGTTAAGGAAATGTTCAGTTTGAAGGATAGAACTCAGCTACTAACAGACTCTGAGTTAGAATAAACTTTATCTTCGTTACTGTATTTACTAACAATAATTTACATATGATGTTTAACCATAAATCACCTTACAGAACAACATTAAGGTTAGCTAACTAGTTAGCTTTAATTAGCACAGCTGCTGACAGTTATGCTGATCATTCAGTCAAATTAAATGATAAATAAAAATAGATATTAATGCAGACTGGCCATCTGAATGTTCTGGAAAAGTCTGAAAAAGGCTGTATGTGTGTCATTTGAGTTATCCAAATTAATTCTTATGAAACAAAAGTGTAATTACATTAAAGCAGATATTAAACTGATATATATCTGCATGGAGTACAGTTAGGGCTGGGCGATAAAACAATAACAATAATTATCACAATATAACTTTCCTCGATAGAACTTCCACGTTCTAGTGACAGCCCTGGTGGCATTTTCTACTGCAAGGAAAGCGACACCACTCTGCTGTCGCCAGGAGAGGGCACACTTTCGATTTTTTCAACTTAATTCGAGAGGGGGGCAACGAGTAAAATGAGTCGCCAAATATACTTTAGCAGCGTCTGGAATGTGGAGTTACACATTCCTTGTTTGAGTGGAGCGACCGGCGATCTGTTCTCCTGTGACCGAGTGTGAGCAACGAGGTCAGTGGTGTAACTGTACTGTCCTACAGTGAACTCACCTCTTTCCTAACATCCTAACAGCTTTAGCGGTGTTAAATCACGTCTGCTCCTCTCAACTACAGCACTGTTACAGTGCTCAGTCATATTTTAGAGTTAGTGCATTCCCAAGCAACGAAAGTGAAAGAATGAAGTGGTTCATGTTAATTACAGCCCTGATTTAAACGACAGTAAACTGAGGAAGCTGTGAGGCATTGGAGAGCAGAAGAAGCCTAGTTTCCCAGGCTAGCTGTTTTTAGCAGCTGGCTAACTTGAAGCAGCTCCGTCACTCACACAGCACAGAGAATTGATGATACTGTAGATCAAACAAGATACAAAAGCACCGCCTTCAGTTTAAACGTTCCTAAAAGGAGGACTCTGTCTGCCTGGTGTTGACTTATTGTAGTTCACCCCTTAAACTACTATGATAGAGTAGAGAACCCCAGTCGTTGCTAGCTGGTGTCTGAATACTGTGATGTGCTCTGATATGGATGGTAGGAGTGACGGCAGTGAGGCGGTGTGATCGTCACTGACCTACCAAGCCAGTTTATGTTTACTGTCGTACTAAGTTGACGTTGTTGAGAAACTAAAGAGTTTAGCTCTGTTGTTGGCCACTTGTTTAGCGTTTGTAGCGGGGTAGCCGAGCGCTCGTCACCAGACAGCTAAAATAATCTGTTTTCTTTCTTAAATTATGACGATTACAAAAACTGCGGTCGTGCTTTTCCAGCTGATAAAAACAGCTCACCAGACACTTTCTCCCACTGTCCCAAGACAGATTTGGAAATGTTCCACTGTTTGATGAGTGTTTGTCGTGTTCTGACCATAAAGGATAGTTTAAAACAGCAACTGACCACTCAGGAGAGACTTGAAAGAAATAAAGATTTGACATTTATCGCGGTATGTATCGATATCGAATGATATGAATTCTGTTTATCGTGATGATATGTGTGGCCATATCGCCCAGCTCTAAGTTCAGTGTATGACATGCTACTACAGGCTATTTAAACCCTGTGTCTAAAATAACTTGCATTTACATTTATTTATTAAGCAGATGTTTTTATCCAGAGCAAAGTTGACCACCAGTGTCTATGGAAGGCAGAACTTTCTCAGAGTTAGGCAAACAGTCAGTTCTAATAAAGATTTCTACTATTTTTTCAGACTGAGTGAATAAACTGGTTACTGAAGGTGTTTTAAAGCACTGCAGAGGTGAAGAACACCTGTAATGGGAGCGGTGAGGACGGAGTAGCAGGAGAACGCCCACTGTCCAGAACTCTGCCAGACCTCCATGTCCTTCTGAATGGCCTCCCTGACAAACAGACACACACAGAGCATTACACAAACTCAACAACTACAAGCAATCACTGCTATTTACAGAATACGACTTCAATACAGTACTGAGGAAAGGAATCGTTCGGCCGACTCGCTCACTTTCAAATGACTTTCATGTACTGTGTTCCACATAAATCACTGTAAATGATCACAACGTGGCACCTGGGTGCAGCCTATCAGAGTAAAGTGGGAAGGAAGTGGGTGGGGCTTATGTTATGGTCACACCCATGCTGAACTTTTTTCCCACTAAAAGTTTACAGGGTTTCTGTGTTCTTTACAGTTCAGCCGTACTGTTTAATGAGATCACTATTTTTGCACAAACATGGCTTTTATTTTGAAATAACATTTGTATGTTTCTGAGCTGAACCAATCCGTGTTAGGGATGATACTGACTAACTGATCAACTTTCAATCAACAAATACACAAACATTCACATCAACAAATGTTCGAGCGACGCTTTAGTTCAGGGGTCACAACCCGAACGTTAAGAAGAGCCATTCAACAAAAATCAAACCACCTTGGGAGCCACAACATTTTATGTCCATTTTATTGAAGCAATGTTTCACCATCTAGGCTGAAAATATATCTCAGTATGTGCTGATGTTCTAGTATAGGATAAAAAAATATAAACAAAAACACAGACTTACTTTGCTCTGCTTTAATCTTTAGCTCAGCTATAGCTGCTTTTCTCACATCTCCAGCAGGAAACTTTTCCTCAAAAGTAGAGCAGTTTCCTGTAAAATGTCTCTCAACATTTGATTTTTTACGACGCTGAAGCTTCTCATTCTCCAGCTCCTTGATCTAATTTTTCCGTTCCACCTTAAATGGTGCCTGAGGCACCAGAATGTACCTGCTGCACTATTTAAGGTGGAACGGGAAAATTCAAACAAGAAGCTGGCGAATGAGAAACTGACTTCTGCTTCACGACTTTTTAGTGTTTTAGTTTCTCGTTGCAGATTAAACGTATCAGGAAACCAGCTGGAGTGATTATAAACACTAATAAGTCCATTCGTCTTCAAATTATCGATGTTCATCTTAAATCTCTCTCTTTGCCGTTTCGTTAGCTACTAGCTAGGCGAGACTGTTGTCTGTGTTGCTATGGTGACCAGCAGTCTGCGCTGATCTTCAGGGTTAAAGGGTGAATTAGCAGTTCTACATTAACTCCAGAGTTTAAGACCATTTATTGTTATTTCCGATAAACAATCAATATTTGAACTGGCACGTTTCCATTCAACTCAACAAGCGTTTCTGAATTGTACTCAGGTGGGTGCAACAGCACAGTTTGTTCAGGCAGCCTAACTGAACAATGCATTTCAGTGTAGCGAAAATAACTGACGCAGTCAAAAGCTGACAAATTAAGCTCAAACTTGACGCTCGTGTGCGCAGCTGAAGATGCCGTGGCTGGTGATTAAGACTTTACACAGCTGAAAGAATTCAGCCAGCTGACATGGACAAAAACAGACCACTTGACTAACTTCTTTAGGTTCTGTTTACATTCTGAACGGCGACCGCTAAGAATCACCTCAGTCTGAGAACTGCTGTAACATCACTCCGACAGTCGTCTATGATTTATTTATTATATAAACTGCCTCGGCTTTACATAATACAGAATACAGCGTCAGCTTTCGACCGGCTCGTCTTCAGGTTTTTTATTTTAGCATTGTGTTTGAAAACGTTTGGTTATGAGTGGGTAAATATGTACGTTTCCTCTGAGAAAATCTTATTTGAGGTACAGAGTTGGACCTTAAAACCACTGTTGTACCCTGATGAACGGAAACATACACATATAGAGAGCGCTGTGCTCCAGCTGTTAGCACGGAGGCGAGGTGGTCAGGCGTAGACTATGTAACGCTCTACTACCAGCTGTTAGACGATTCTCAGAGGACATTAAGTAACTGACGTTGAGGCATATTTACATAGTGCTTTTTACGGCGAGTGTCATTACAAAGCAGTTTTAGGGGTCCGAACCCTAACGAGCGTCACCAAGGACAACAGTGGCAAGACAAGCTGCCTCAGAGTGAGAGGAAGGAACCTTGAGAAGAACCAGGACTCAAAAGCAGAACCTCTGGTCCACACCGGATAACAAACTCCACATAACACTGGTCCGCTCGCTTGAGGTGGATACATGTCTTTACCGTTACAAAAGAACTCACGGTGGAGACGCTTCTGAACTGTGTTAATGGATTCACTCACAGGTGTTTCTCATTCTCGTCTGTGGCGGCTGATCCTCTCCGGTCGAAGCTGCTCTGTGGGCCCAGGGCCGAGTACCTGTTCTGGCCGGAGAAACTGAAATTCTTTGCATCTCTCCCACCTCCTCCTCCTCCTCCTCCCCCTCCTCCTCCCCCTCCTCCTCCTCGACCCCAGTCGCTCCCCCCACGGGAGAACGAGGAGGGCTGGACGTAGCCGCCCCCGGAGCGCTGAGACTGTGGGTTAACCCACACACGGTTACCAAAACCTGAAAACAGAAAACAACCATCAACAAATCGACCACAACATTGTTCCCCATTGAGCGGGACGATTTCAGACAACGAGCAGCGATCATGGTGAAGGAGCTTCCTCAACCGTTCAGGGAGGACAGTATTAAACCACACACACAGACACTCACACACACAGTCGTATATAACAGTATCGCTGGTGGACGTTGCTGTTGAAGGCCACTATACCCAAAGGATGAGCACAGAGCTGATTTATAATAAAATAAACCCTTATTTAATTAAAAGGTTACAGTAAAAATCAAGCATTAGTGAGAAATTCTGAAAAGACGGTGAAGTTCTCCTTCACACAGTGTGCCTATATGTAACTGTATCAGTCGCTCGAGGCTGCTGTGAGTTTCTCATTCGCCAAATTCGTGTTCGAGTTTTCCTGTTCCACCTTAAATCTGACGCCGCGGGCTTAATAAAGATCACCGCTCCATTTAAGGTGGAACGGGAACTTCAGCCTGGTGTTATAATAAAGATCACCGCTCCGTTTAAGGTGGAATGGGAACACTCAGAGGGGCAGCTGTGAGAATCAGACCTCAGCCTGGCATTATAATAAAGATCACCGCTCCGTTTAAGGTGGAACGGGAACTTCAGCCTGGTGTTATAATAAAGATCACCGCTCCATTTAAGGTGGAACGGGAACACTCAGAGGGGCAGCTGTGAGAATCAGACCTCAGCCTGGCGTTATAATAAAGATCACCGCTCCATTTAAGGTGGAACGGGAACTGTAGCCTGGTGTTATAATAAAGATCACCGCTCCATTTAAGGTGGAACGGGAACTGTAGCCTGGTGTTATAATAAAGATCACCGCTCCATTTAAGGTGGAACGGGAACTTCAGCCTGGTGTTATAATAAAGATCACCGCTCCATTTAAGGTGGAACGGGAACACTCAGAGGGGCAGCTGTGAGAATCAGACATCAGCCTGGTGTTATAATAAAGATCACCGCTCCGTTTAAGGTGGAATGGGAACACTCAGAGGGGCAGCTGTGAGAATCAGACCTCAGCCTGGCGTTATAATAAAGATCACCGCTCCATTTAAGGTGGAACGGGAACTGTAGCCTGGTGTTATAATAAAGATCACCGCTCCATTTAAGGTGGAACGGGAACTGTAGCCTGGTGTTATAATAAAGATCACCGCTCCATTTAAGGTGAACGGGAACACTCAGAGGGGCAGCTGTGAGAATCAGACCTCAGCCTGGCGTTATAATAAAGATCACCGCTCCATTTAAGGTGGAACGGGAACTGTAGCCTGGTGTTATAATAAAGATCACCGCTCCATTTAAGGTGGAACGGGAACACTCAGAGGGGCAGCTGTGAGAATCAGACTTCAGCCTGGTGTTATAATAAAGATCACCGCTCCGTTTAAGGTGGAACGGGAACACTCAGATCACCGCTCGATTTAAGGTGGAACGGGAACTGTAGCCTGGTGTTATGGATGTTAGTGATGTTAGTGATGTTAGCTTGGCGGCTAACCTCCTCCTCCTCCTCCTCCTCCTCCTCCTCCTCCTCCTCCTCCTCCTCCTCCTGCTCCTCTAGGGTGCTCGTTCCAGCACTTCTCGCCGTACCGACACCGGCCCTGGAGGAAGAAGCTGCAGACGGTCATTTCACACCGAATAAACCCGCTTTGGACCGACACCGCCTCAGAACCGACACCGCTTCCTGCTAGCGCTCAGGCTACACTCTTACTCTGCGCCCGCGCTGCACTGCGCACTCAGCGCTGGAGGCCGCGGCACTGACACCCGCAGGAGAAGCGCGGTATTACACTGTAGTTCTGCAGGAGCTGCAGTACAGCAGAACACCAGGGGCAGATTCTCAAAGCACGAGGGGTATATCAGAAAGAAAGAGGGGTATTGAATAAAGAAATTAGGGTATTTAATAAAGCGAGGGGGTATGTAATAAAGAAAAGAGGGTAGTTAATAATGAAAAGAGGGTATTTAATAAAGCAAGGGGGTATTTGATGAAGTGAAACAGTATTTAATAAAGCAAGATGGTATTTGATAAACTGAAGCAGTATTTAATAAAGAAAGGGGGTATTTTATGAAATGAAGCAGCATTTAATAAAGAAAGGGGGTATTTAATAAACTGAAGCAGTATTTAATAAAGCAAGGGGTATTTAATAAACTGAAGCAGTATTTAATAACGAAAGGGGTATTTAATAAACTGAAGCAGTATTTAATAAAGCAAGGGGGTATTTAATAAACTGAAGCAGTATTTAATAACGCAAGGGGGTATTTAATAAACTGAAGCAGTATTTAATAACGCAAGGGGGTATTTAATAAACTGAAGCAGTATTTAATAACGCAAGGGGGTATTTGATGAAATGAAGCAGTATTTAATAAAGTAAGGGGGTATTTAATGAAGTGATAGGGTATTTAATAAAGCACTCTCAACTAACCATTTGCATGCTTAAATGGGTTCTCTGCATGATGATATGGTTCTTCAGATTGATGGAAAAATGTGTTGTATATAGTTCTATATAGAACCTTCTTGAAATCGTTCTATAAAGCACCAGAAAGGGTTCTGCTATTGTTCCAAGCTTGACATTGTCACAGTAGCAGAACCCTTCTTGGTGCCATACAGATCCCTGTTCAAAAAGGTTCTCTATAGAACCACATACAGTGCCATAATAATATTAGTAACAACAATGACAATAACAGCAATACTAATAGTAATTATAATATTATTAATGTATTAATGTGAATGTTTACATGTTAAAATGAGATCAGTATGAATTGTTCAGCGCAGTGATGTGACTCCCGGTTTAGATGATGTGTGTGTGTGTGTGTGTGTGTGTGTGTGATGTGACTCCAGTCTTTATCAGGTCTCTCCCTGATCTGTGAGTAAGACTGAAGGGGGTCTTTATTAGGTCTCTCACTGATCTGTGAGTAAGACTGAAGGGGGTCTTTATCAGGTCTCTCCCTGATCTGTGAGTAAGACTGAAGGGGGTCTTTATTAGGTCTCTCACTGATCTGTGAATAAGACTGAAGGGGGTCTTTATTAGGTCTCTCACTGATCTGTGAGTAAGACTGAAGGGGGTCTTTATCAGGTCTCTCCCTGATCTGTGAGTAAGACTGAAGGGGGTCTTTATCAGGTCTCTCCCTGATCTGTGAGTAAGACTGAAGGGGGTCTTTATCAGGTCTCTCACTGAGCTGAATAAGACTGAAGGGGGTCTTTATCAGGTCTCTCACTGAGCTGAATAAGACTGAAGGGGGGTATTTATCAGGTCTCTCCCTGATCTGTGAATAAGACTGAAGGGGGTCTTTATCAGGTCTCTAACTGAGCTGAATAAGACTGAAGGGGGTCTTTATCAGGTCTCTCCCTGATCTGTGAATAAGACTGAAGGGGGGTGTTTATCAGGTCTCTAACTGAGCTGAATAAGACTGAAGGGGGTCTTTATCAGGTCTCTCCCTGATCTGTGAATAAGACTGAAGGGAGTCTTTATCAGGTCTCTCACTGAGCTGAATAAGACTGAAGGGGGTCTTTATTAGGTCTCTCACTGATCTGTGAGTAAGACTGAAGGGGGTCTTTATCAGGTCTCTCACTGAGCTGAATAAGACTGAAGGGGGGTCTTTATCAGGTCTCTCCCTGATCTGTGAATAAGACTGAAGGGGGTCTTTATCAGGTCTCTAACTGAGCTGAATAAGACTGAAGGGGGTCTTTATCAGGTCTCTAACTGAGCTCAATAAGAGTGGAGGGGGTCTTTATCAGGTCTCTAACTGAGCTGAATAAGACTGAAGGGGGTCTTTATCAGGTCTCTCACTGAGCTGAATAAGACTGAAGGGGGTCTTTATCAGGTCTCTCCCTGATCTGTGAATAAGACTGAAGGGGGTCTTTATCAGGTCTCTAACTGAGCTGAATAAGACTGAGAGGGTCTTTATCAGGTCCCTAACTGAGCTGAATAAGAGTAGAGGGGGTCTTTATCAGGTCTCTCCCTGATCTGTGAATAAGACTGAGGGGGTCTTTATCAGGTCTCTAACTGAGCTGAATAAGACTGAGGGGGTCTTTATCAGGTCTCTAACTGAGCTGAATAAGACTGAAGGGGGTCTTTATCAGGTCTCTAACTGAGCTGAATAAGAGTGGAGGGGTCTGTATTAGGTCTCTCACTGATCTGTGAATAAAACTGAAGGGGGGTCTTTATCAGGTCTCTCCCTGATCTGTGAATAAGACTGAAGGGGGTCTTTATCAGGTCTCTAACTGAGCTGAATAAGACTGAAGGGGGGTCTTTATCAGGTCTCTCCCTGATCTGTGAATAAGACTGAAGGGGGTCTTTATCAGGTCTCTAACTGAGCTGAATAAGACTGAAGGGGGGTCTTTATCAGGTCTCTCCCTGATCTGTGAATAAGAGTGGAGGGGGTCTTTATCAGGTCTCTCACTGAGCTGAATAAGAGTGGAGGGGGTCTTTATCAGGTCTCTAACTGAGCTGAATAAGACTGAAGGGGGTCTTTATCAGGTCTCTAACTGAGCTCAATAAGAGTGGAGGGGGTCTTTATCAGGTCTCTAACTGAGCTGAATAAGAGTGGAGGGGGTCTTTATCAGGTCCCTAACTGAGCTGAATAAGACTGAGGGGGTCTTTATCAGGTCTCTAACTGAGCTGAATAAGACTGAAGGGGGGTCTTTATCAGGTCTCTCCCTGATCTGTGAATAAGACTGAGGGGGTCTTTATCAGGTCTCTAACTGAGCTGAATAAAACTGAGGGGGTCTTTATCAGGTCCCTAACTGAGCTGAATAAGAGTGGAGGGGGTCTTTATCAGTACTCTAACTGAGCTGAATAAGACTGAGGGGGTCTTTATCAGGTCTCTCACTGAGCTGAATAAGAGTGGAGGGGGTCTTTATCAGGTCTCTAACTGAGCTGAATAAGACTGAAGGGGGTCTTTATCAGGTCTCTAACTGAGCTCAATAAGATTGGAGGGGGTCTTTATCAGGTCTCTAACTGAGCTGAATAAGAGTGGAGGGGGTCTTTATCAGGTCTCTGACTGAGCTGAATAAGACTGAAGGGGGGTCTTTATCAGGTCTCTCACTGATCTGTGAATAAGACTGAGGGGGTCTTTATCAGGTCTCTAACTGAGCTGAATAAAACTGAGGGGGTCTTTATCAGGTCCCTAACTGAGCTGAATAAGAGTGGAGGGGGTCTTTATCAGTACTTTAACTGAGCTGAATAAGACTGAGGGGGTCTTTATCAGGTCTCTCACTGAGCTGAATAAGAGTGGAGGGGGTCTTTATCAGGTCTCTAACTGAGCTGAATAAGACTGAAGGGGGTCTTTATCAGGTCTCCCCCTGATCTGTGAATAAGACTGAAGGGGGTCTTTATCAGGTCTCTAACTGAGCTGAATAAGACTGAGGGGGTCTTTATCAGGTCCCTAACTGAGCTGAATAAGAGTGGAGGGGGTCTTTATCAGGTCTCTAACTGAGCTGAATAAGACTGAGGGGGTCTTTATCAGGTCTCTAACTGAGCTGAATAAAACTGAGGGGGTCTTTATCAGGTCCCTAACTGAGCTGAATAAGAGTGGAGGGGGTCTTTATCAGGTCTCTAACTGAGCTGAATAAGACTGAGGGGGTCTCGCCGCGAAGGTAAACAGAAAGAAGGGGGCGTGGACGGGTTCGAAGCGCCGCCGCTGCCAATGACGCCACATAGGCAGACATCAGTTCAGCCGGAGCGGACCAATCAGAAACGCGGAGCTGCTCCGCGCCCCGCCCTAGAACGCTTTCCCTGCGCTGGGATTGGCTCTTTGGTTCAGACTCACGAGCAGTTCGACCGTCCGCGATCTAACTAGCCAATCGCAGCGCCGGCGTGGCGAGGGTGGGGCTTAGCGCGGCAGAGAGCGCACGGCCAACCCCTGCACAGAGGGGCGGGGCTACAACAGTAACGCCACCGCATGTGGAGCGTGACTGACAGGCGGCTCTGGCCAATAGAAGGCGCCGCTGTGTCAGGCGGTGGGCGGGGCCGTGGCCGGTGGTGACCGTTAAGATGTGAGGGCGAAATAAAGAGGTTCTAGTTCTCTGGGTGAGAAGAACGACGGAGAACGTGTGAAGGAACGAAGATGACCGTGTTTGAGGTTAGCAACCAGCTAATAGAAAACACGGTGGAGAAGATGAGCGAGAACCTGCCGTCCATGGTTCTAGCAGCGACCGCGTTCACCCTCACGGTGGCGTACCTGTCTAAGATTCTGTTCGGGCAGCAGCAGAGAGAGGACGGCCCCGAGGAGGCGGTGAGTGCAGCGTTCAGGTACTCGGACCACGCGAGCTGACTGTCCGGCTGTCTGATCCGAATTACCCGTTCCACCTTAAATGGTGCTGCAAGTACAGCGAGCTGACTGTCCGGCTATCTGATTCGATTTTCGCGTTCCACCTTAAATGGTGCTGCAGGTACAGCGAGCTGACTGTCCGGCTATCTGATTCGATTTTCTCCGTTCCACCTTAAATGGTGCTGCAGGTACAGCGAGCTGACTCTCTGGCTATCTGATTCCAAATTTCCCGTTCCACCTTAAATGGTGCTGCAGGTACAGCGAGCTGACTGTCCGGCTATCTGATTCGATTTTCTCCGTTCCGCCTTAAATGATGCTGCAGGTACAGCGAGCTGACTCTCTGGCTATCTGATTCCAAATTTCCCGTTCCACCTTAAATGGTGCTGCAGTTACAGCGAGCTGACTGTCCGGCTATCTGATTCGATTTTCTCCGTTCCACCTTAAATGATGCTGCAGGTACAGCGAGCTGACTCTCTGGCTATCTGATTCCAAATTTCCCGTTCCACCTTAAATGGTGCTGCAGGTACAGCGAGCTGACTCTCTGGCTATCTGATTCCAAATTTCCCGTTCCACCTTAAATGGTGCTGCAGGTACAGCGAGCTGACTGTCCGGCTATCTGATTCGATTTTCTCCGTTCCACCTTAAATGGTGCTGCAGGTACAGCGAGCTGACTCTCTGGCTATCTGATTCCAAATTTCCCGTTCCACCTTAAATGGTGCTGCAGGTACGGCTGGCGCCTCAGCGCTGCCGCGACAGAACGTAGCCGCTGCGCCGTTTAAGGTGGAATGGGAAAGTTCGAGCGAGAGGCGTGAGAATGTGATGAGAAAGGTCTGAAATGCGGTCCGCATCGCTTCTCTGGGCACAAACGGGCAACAAACGGACAAACGGATCAACAGGCAGGAGTGAAGGGGAGTGTTTATCGCTTACCGCGCTCGGTTCACCTCCTGCTCCCGACTACTAAACCAAATAATAGTTTTCGCGTGAACAAAACTGTGAGAAGTTCAGATGTGCGCTGATGGAGGCCGATCCGAGCTGTCATCCCCGTAGAGCAGTCATACAGGTTCTACTTCACCGTTCCTCTCACGCTAATTGGAGGTGGGTGGGTTAATTAAAGGGTTAATTGGTGAGTTAATGACTGTTTTCATTGTTTGTATTCCCCCTACAGAAGTACCCTCCCTACATCCCGTCCAGCGTGCCCTTCCTGGGTCAGGCCATTGCGTTTGGGAGAAGCCCCATCGAGTTTCTGGAGAACGCGTATGAGAAGGTAACTCACCTGCACAGTTCACCTGTCGCTACGGTAAAGGGTGACGTCAGTGCTGTCAGTAATGTTACAGCGCAGCTTCAGTACAGACTCAGACTAAATCAGACTTTAGACTCAGACTAAATCAGACTGAGTTTGAGCAGCTGAAGCTTTCTCAAGCTTCGTCCTTAACCACATAATCACAACATACCATATTATACTATACTATATTATGATATACCATACTGTACTATGATATACAATATTGTACTATACTATACTGCACTGTGATATACAGTATTACACTATATTGTGCTCTGATATACTATACTAGAGTTTACTGTACTATCATATACAATATTATACTACACTATAACATACTATACTATGATTGTACCATGTTATACTATAGTATACCATACTATGATTTATCATGTTACACTACATTACACTATATTACGATATATCATTATTATACTATACTATAATGCAGTATACTGCATTATAATATTCCATATTATAACACACTATGCAGTACAATGATATACCATGTTGTATTTAACATACCATACTGTGATTTATCATGTTGCACAACATTATACTGTATTATATCATATTATACTATACTGTAATGAGGTATACTGTACTATAATGTACTACACTATTATACTATATATAATGTAATATAATGCACTGTACTTTACTATAATATACTATACTGCACTGTTATACTGTACTGTAGTAAACAGTGCTGTTATAGTCTTTAATATACTGTATTATGCTACACTGTTATAGTATAGTACATGTAATAACTATATTATAATAGGTATTATAATATAATACTGCAGATGTGTTATATTATGTAGTATGATAGTATAGCGCTCGGATGCAGCATCACGCTTCGTCGAGTCTGAGACCGCTCATTGATTATTGCTTTTTAAAATGCCTACAGCATACAATATGATACAATACACACACAATACATTTCCAATCATTACAGTTTCCAGTAATTTAAGTTAAATTCAATAATCACAATAAATAATTCTTCCACCATTCACCATGTAGGTCATGTAATACTTACAGTATCCTGATGTAGTCATATATAATGATATAACACAGGGTTCCTGCATTACCTGTCAGTTCAGCGGTTCTCGTGAGAGGAATACCGGTCCAATCACAGCGCAGTGTTTCAGTGATGCGTTATCACAGAGTCCAGTTACGAGGAGGTCAGTGATGAGAACGTGGGGTGTTTCATACGCAGCTCAGCCAATCAGGTTTCAGCACTGCGTTATCACAGCACACCGACATTAGTAGTGCATCGTTAGTGCAGTGAGTACTACGTCTGATTTGGTTGAGCTGCGGTCATCTTTTCGGAGGTCATATTCTGTGGTCTGTCCCTGCAGTACGGCCCCGTGGTCAGCTTCACGATGGTGGGGAAGACCTTCACCTACCTGCTGGGAGGCGACGCTGCGGCTCTGCTCTTCAACAGTAAGAACGAGGAGCTCAACGCCGAGGACGTTTACTCCCGACTCACGACCCCCGTCTTCGGGAAGGGGGTCGCCTACGATGTCCCCAACCCGGTAGGTTCAGTCCGCCGGTCGCTGAGGGAACCTGAGGAACCACGTAAAGCAGGGCTGCCCAGTGTGTGACCCACTCGCTGGGGTGCAGAGCGTGAGGATACTGGATTTGGTCACAAAGTGACCCTTACCCCCTTCACATTTATTTTTAATGTTATTAATTATTAATTAAAGAAATGGGACTCCTAAAACTGCACCTTGGATTCAGTAACTAATATAAAGAAGTTTGTGGGTCACAAAACAGCTAAACATGGCAAAAGAAACCACATGACTCTGAAAACACACCCAAGCAAAGCCGCAGAGCACTTCTGAAGAGTCCGTTTTTACTTCACCTGTATAGATTATACAGCACCGTTCATACACTGCTGTCATTCAGTGCTTTACAGATGAGAAAATACAGAGTCGTTTAGTAACAAAGTAAACAAGAATAAACATTAAAAACATGATTAAAACAACAGAGAAAATCATGAGTCAATTAAAAATCAAATAAATCAATAAAACATTAAATTAGAGATTAAATTAGGATAGTTAAAAATAGGATCTGTGGCAGTTAAAGAAAAGCTTCTGATGTCTCAGCTTTGAGATGCTAATCTTGAAAGGGATCACACAGCTTAAATCAATGTTCGTAAACAGGGACGGGGGAACACGTTTTAAATTGGGGGCCCTGAAATTTCAAGCACAATGACTTTGTGCAAAAAAAATCTCTGTTTCCATTTGTTTTTTTTGCTAATTTCCATCAAACAGAATGTGCTATACTGCGAGGCGACAGTGTGTAACTGACATAACTGACACATTAATGCGCTGGTGCACGTCCTCTCTCTGCTCTCTCATTCTGGACAAACCTCATGCAAATTAACTGAGCCATTAATTCTGACCAATCAGAGTGTTCATATGTGGCGCGGTAACTGATTGTGTCGCGGCCACAGTCACGTGGTGAAAGTGCAGGAGATAAAACGTAACCATAGAGAACAACTGATAAAAATCATTATTACATTAGCTCAGCGGTCGACAACCTGCAGCTCTTTCACTGCCCCCTGTTGGCTCCACAGCTGAATTAGATCTGTAGGTAAAAATAAAATAATCCTCCTTTACAGTAAAATAAAGCTCTGCTGATCGTTCAACACAGTTTAACAATAAATGGTCTTAAACTCTGGAGTTAATGTAGAACTGCTGATTCACCCTTTAACCCTGAAGATCAGCGCAGACTGCTGGTCACCATAGCAACACAGACAACAGTCTCGCCTAGCTAGTAGCTAACGAAACGGCACAGAGAGATATTTAAGATGAACATCGATAATTTGGAGATGAATGGACTGATTAGTGTTTATAATCACTCCAGCTGGTTTCCTGATACGTTTAATCTGCAACGAGAAACTGAAAAACACTAAGAAGACACGTCAGTTTCTCATTCACCAGCGTCTTGTTCAAATTTTCCCATTCCACCTTAAATGGTGCAGCAGTTACATCCTGGCACCTCAGGCACCATTTAAGGTGGAACGGGAAAATTTGAGGAAAAGTTTCCAGCTGGAGATAGTTGGGTTAGATGATTCTTTTTAAGCTTAAAAAACAATATCGGGCTGTTTGGGGTTCAGAACAGGCCCACATTCCGTCTATGTGTGTTTGAGCGACGCCCCCGCAGCGGCGGACCACTGTCGGCTCACTGTAATAAAAATAGGACGTTCTCTTAAACAGCGCAGGGCTGCGGGAGACCTTTACAATATAAAATACAAGCTCCACTTTAAGACAAGCACACGTGGGTCTTTACTGCGCTCGGATCTTAATGAAGTTCATGATGCTTTATAATTAGAATTGGTTTTAGCAGAAGACATCCCGAAATCCGCCCCTCAGCACCCCCGCTTCTTGTGGCACACTGTACAGTAAATCCACATTAACGGACAAACTGTTGGCAGTCACAGTATAGCTGTGTTGTGTTTGAGGCCGTAATGTCAAACGTACCCAAGTATGTCCTGGATTTTCCCGCTCTCTAAAGCAGGCAGGGCTGCTAAAAGCAGTGTTACCTCCTCTGATCCTCTGTGTTCAACACTCACAGCTGAAACCACAGCCTAGAGAGTTCTTTACTGTTCCAGGAGGAGACGAGGTCCCCAGCACCGTCACATCACCAGCAGGGTTTAGCAGAGAGTTCGACACGAGGAGGCTAAAAGCTACCGCTAACGGGAGTTTATACCAGCAGCCACAGAGCAAGTGTCTTAGCTCACATTTGACAGAGGTGTTTCAGAGACTCTAAACAGAGAGTTATGAGAAAAAAAGAAAAACCAGCAAGATGGAGAACAAGAGACCAAAGAAACCCACAAATGTGAGAATTTTCTCTGTTAAAAAATTAAAATAACCACTGTTTTATCTTAGTTTAATGTTGTTTCAGTGTATTTTGGTCTTTTTCTTCATAACAAGCATAAAAAATCGCTAATAGCATGCTAATGTCTCGCTAGCTAGCTAAATTACCCCTTCAACCTTAAATAGTCCAGCAGTTCTGATACCTGAAGCGCCAGAATGTAACCGCTGCTCCATTTAAGGTGGAACGGGAAAATTGGAACGAGAATCTGGTGAAAATCTGACTTCAGCTTCGTATCACTGAAGAATTAGGGGTGGGTGATAATAAATAACTGCCCCCCTCTTTGAAGATCATATGATCCCTAAATGTAACTAAAGCCCAGCAGTGAGGAGCTGAACTTTACCCTCCTCTGCTGTCACTGCAGACTGGCAGGGTCGCCTACAGAGCAGCGCTGGTAGCTGTTAATGAAGTGATGCTCTTTTTATTTGAGGGTCCCATTTCAGAGGGAAGACCCTGTAACTCAGTTCCAAGGGGTTAGAGTGACACTCAAAAACAAGGGGTAGGGGTAAGAAGAGGAAATGGGACTGGGCCTTAGTCTCCTAGTAAACTTATGCCACCTCAGTGATCTCTTTACAAAGTAATAATTCTAAAAACTTCACTCGACACATCGCTCTGATTCACATTCCGGAGCTTTTGTTGGTGAGGCAGTAGTGCTGGGCAACTTCCTCTTTAACAGGAAAAGTGAGGAAGTCTCTAAACTGCTGTTAGCTCCATTTGAAGGTGTTCTCAGAGACAGAGGAAGGAACAGGTTGTGATACTTTGTGAGGTGGAAAAATGGCTCGAAACACCTTAATTTTCTCAGGCCTTTTTAAATGCACTGGTGCTGTTTTGCTGGAGCGTTTTGTCGGTTCTAACTTGTTCACAACCCTCAGAAAAAGGATATAGATCACGATATATGCTGTGTAAAACTGTGTATCTCTGCCACCCTGTCCGACAGTTACCTGTCCTGTGAGAGCTGCTGGTGGACGTGTGTCCTGTGTGTTTTGCAGGTGTTCCTGGAGCAGAAGAAGATGCTGAAGACGGGCCTGAACATCGCCCACTTTAAACAGCACGTGGAGATCATCGAGGAGGAGACGAGGGAGTATTTCAAGCGCTGGGGGGACAGCGGAGAGAAAAGTGAGAGAGAAGGGTGAAGAAGACAGAAGATGAAGATATAATGTGATCATAACTGTCCTGATCCTCTTGTCCTCCCTCTCCTCTCAGACCTGTTTGAGGCTCTCTCTGAGCTCATTATTCTAACGGCGAGCAGGTGTTTACACGGCCGAGAGATTCGCAGCATGCTGGACGAAAAGGTGGCGCAGCTCTACGCAGACCTGGATGGAGGTTTTACCCACGCTGCCTGGCTCCTGCCGGGCTGGCTGCCCCTGCCCAGCTTCAGGTACACAAACGCACCTGTCCAGCTGCAGGTACACAAATGCACCTGTGCAGCTATAGGCATACCTGTCCAGATTCAGGTACACAGACGCACCTGTCTAGCTTCAGGTACACAAATGCACATACCTAGCTTCAGGTACTCAAACACACCTGTCCAGCTGCAGGCACACAAACGCACCTGTCCAGATTCAGGTACACAAACGCACCTGTCCAGATTCAGGTACACAAACGCACCTGTCTTGCTTCAGGTACTCAGACACACCTGTCCAGCTGCAGGCACACAAACGCACCTGTCCAGATTCAGGTACACAAACGCACCTGTCCAGATTCAGGTACACAAACGCACCTGTCTTGCTTCAGGTACTCAGACACACCTGTCCAGCTGCAGGCACACAAATGCACCTGTCCAGATTCAGGTACACAAACGCACCTGTCTTGCTTCAGGTACTCAAACACACCTGTCCAGCTGCAGGCATGCAAACGCACCTGTCCAGATTCAGGTACACAGACGCACCTGTCTTGCTTCAGGTACTCAAACACACCTGTCCAGCTGCAGGCATGCAAACGCACCTGTCCAGATTCAGGTACACAAACGCACCTGTCCAGGTTCAGGTTTACAAGTGCACCTGTCCAGCTGCAGGTACACAAACGCACCTATCCAGCTGCAGGTACACAAACGCAACTGTCCAGCTTCAGGTTCACATAAACGTACCTTTCCAGCTTTAGGTACATAAACACACCAATCCAGCTTTGGGTGCACAAAACTACACCTGTGTAGCTGTAGGTACGTAAACACACCTATTCAGTATCAGTTGCACGAAAACACACCTGTCCAATTTTGGCTGCACAAAAACACTCCCGTCCAGCTTCGGGTGCACAGAAACTCACCTCTCCAGCTTTAGATGCACAAACACACACCTGTTCAGCTTCAGGTGCACAAACACACACCTGTTCATCTACGGGTGCACAAAACTACACCTTTCCATAATTAGGTACATCAACACCTGTCCAGCTTTGGGTGCATAAAAACACATCTGTCCAGCTTTAGGTACATAAACACACCTGTCCAACTTCGGCTGCACAAAAACACACCTGTCCAGCTTTAGGTACATAAACACACATGTCCAACTTCGGCTGCACAAAAACACACCTGTCCAGCTTTAGGTACATAAACACACATGTCCAACTTCGGCTGCACAAAAACACACCTGTCCAGCTTCGGGTGCACAAAATCACACCTGTCCAGCTACAGGTACATAAACACACCTGTCCAGCTTCGGGTGCAAAGAAACACACCTGTCCAGCTACAGGTACATAAACACACCTGTCCAGCTTCGGGTGCAAAGAAACACACCTGTCCAGCTTCGGGTGCAAAGAAACACACCTGTCCGGCTACAGGTACATAAACACACCTGTCCAGCTTCGGGTGCAAAGAAACACACCTGTCCGGCTACAGGTACATAAACACACCTGTCCAGCTTCGGGTGCACATAAACACACATGTCCAGCTACAGGTACATAAACACACCTGTCCGGCTACAGGTACATAAACACACCTGTCCGGCTACAGGTACATAAACACACCTGTCCAGCTTCAGGTGCACATAAACACACCTGTCCAGCTACAGGTACATAAACACACCTGTCCGGCTACAGGTACATAAACACACCTGTCCGGCTACAGGTACATAAACACACCTGTCCATCTGCTGATACACAAACGCACCTGTCATAACAAAACTAGTCTAGATGCACTAGTCTGCCTCCAGTGTGTTGCACTCTGTAAGTCATACTGGCTCTGAAGCAGCTGTGGTGTTGTGTGGGGCAGGCGGAGAGATCGAGCTCACAGAGAGCTGAAGAAGATCTTCTACAAAGTGATCGAGAAGCGCAGACAGACGGAGGACAAGGAGGACGACATTCTGCAGACGCTCATCGACGCCACGTACAAGTAGGACGTCCTCCGTTTTAAACATTCACCGCTGAGAGTGGACGGTCTTTCTTCTCTGCCCTTTGTATTTCATAATGAGGAACAGTGTATTACTAAATTAAACACTGTTATTAAATGTATATTAATGGGGAATTCCGTCAATTTTTGTCAAAATTTCCCCCGTAATTTAAGTTGTGTGAAATGCGTCAGATGTCTTTACAGTGGTGGTGATAGGAACCAGGGGTCGCCATGACAACAACACAAATATAGACATTTTATTTACTATCCAGAACCACCAGTGAACCTACACGAGTCTTCTGAGTTTATATGGAATGTTGATGATGGAAAATAGTGGAAAATCTGAAATAATAAGTTTTCTTTGGGGACTATTTTGCCTCACAGCGCCCTGCATGTATCCCTCCACCATGAATGGAGTTTAAGTTCTCTAAACGATCATAAAACAGTGTCTCAGTCATCAGGCAGTGAATTCATAACCATTTACTGTAGGAACTTTCTGTGAGGGAGCTTTTAGAGGTGGACGTCTGGTTCCTGTCACCACCACTGTGAACAGCTCTGAGTCGGTAAGTTTATCTAGAACCACTCTGAATGACTCTGTTTACATCTTAACGATTTGATCATGCAGGGAATTTAAAAAAAAATCATCTTGAATTCCCCTTTAAGTTCCCCTAACTTGAGCGTTTGCTCTGAATCTAATCAGTGATGTACCAATGTCGCCCTCATGTGGTGAGTCTGTGAATTACAGAGAATTTGGTAGTCCATCTCAGTATGTCTAAAAGCGATGCATGGAAAGGGGAGATGATTAATACAGTGGTTAGAAGATAAACCACAGAACACAGAGTCCGTTTAAACATAGCTTACATTTTTGGTTGTTTAGAAGGGGCTGCAGGTGCGCAAGGTATCTTTACCTGTTAGAACTGAACAGGCTTTTACTTTTGTTACTGTGCCTTTAATACTGATATATGTAAATGAGGTCTGTTACAATTGACTGCCCTGTAGTCTGAATGGACAGAGTTAAACCACTGACATCTCAGCAAGAATGAATTCAAAACGGGCTGTTTTCATCCCTCTAATTAATCTTATGTAAATGAACTATGTAATTAATTATGTACTTAGACAACACAGTAAAGTTATACCTATAGGCTTCACTGAGTTGAACTGAGTGTTTACACTGAGGCCCTTGTGTCTCCTTTGTGGTCACCATCTCTTTCTGTCTCTCTCTGTAGAGACGGACGTCCCCTGAATGATGATGAAATTGCAGGGATGCTGATTGGTCTGCTGTTGGCGGGTCAGCACACGTCCTCCACCACCAGCGCCTGGCTTGGCTTCTTCCTGGCACGAGATCGCCCCCTGCAGGACCGCTGCTACAAAGAGCAAAAACAAGTCTGTGGAGAAAACCTGCCTCCTCTCAACTATGACCAGGTCAGTTCAATATAACCTCAAACACTAAAGTACCCATAAACCCCCGCCTCCTCTCAGCTATGACCAGGTCAGTTCAATATAACCTCAAACACTACAGTACCCATAAACCCCTGCCTCCTCTCAACTATAACCAGGTCAGTTCAGTATAACCTCAAACACTACAGTACCCATAAACCCCTGCCTCCTCTCAACTATGACCAGGTCAGTTCAGTATTACCCCAAACACTACAGTACCCATAAACCCCTGCCTCCTCTCAACTATGACCAGGTCAGTTCAGTATAACCTCAAACACTACAGTACCCATAAACCCCTGCCTCCTCTCTACTATGACTAGGTCAGTTCAGTATAACCTAGGAATCATTAGGTCTTCTCTGAAGGCCTAGAAGGCCCAGAGGGAACAACAGTGTACCTGAGCGGTACCTTTTTTCTGAAAGTGTGGTTACTGAGTGCACCGAGGAGCCAATGGAGGTTTTGTTTATCACAGGATGAAGATACAGCGGTGCAGATTTTGCTTAGTCTGATTTCCGAATAGCGAAGTCTGTGGAGCACCTTGAACTGGATCAGTCTGTACCTAGAATTTGAGCAATAGTGTGGTATCCTGGAGAAGCTCTCCTCCCAAATGTCCTTAGTTACGGAGCTGCTGATCTCATGCTCCCAGGCCTCTCTGAGATTGCCTCAAATAGTGTATGGCCATCAGGTTTGAGTGACATTACTGATCTTCTCGTCATCTTCACGCCATCTTATGATGGAATACTCGGCCCATCTTGACAAGGTCTTTGTTGAGGAAAGTTCAGATATTCTCTGAAGAGTGAACAGGACGAGGCTCCAACAAAGCCCTTGAAAGATTTTAGGTCGTTATCAATAGGAAGGGTGTTACGCCTGCAGAATTTCTGAGAACGAGGAACCGTAGCTCAGATGCCCTGGAGCACCAGAGGATCTCAAGCTGGCCCTGCACAAGACAACCCCTTAGAAATGCCTAAGGATCTGCAAGACTTTGCAAACAGGAAAACCAAACAATCATTAATATATACTAAAGTAATCTAGCCAAGATCTTGCTGAAGGTTTGTGTGATGAACAGGTGGAGCTGAAACCAGAGCGGACCAATCCAAGATGGGACAGTCCATGTGCTGTCTTCCCCAGTGGGAGACACTTTGACAACATCCACTGAAACATCATCCACTGAAACATCATCCACTGAAGTGCCTCTAACCAAATTAGGGACGGGGTAGTTTGTGCACTACCATAGTCATCATGTTGCTTTAACCTTTTTATGATTCTTCCCTAATTAAATCCCCTACACACACTGCGGAGGTCGATGATTCTGTGGTGGTAATAATTAAAGCCTTCCTGTCTGGGATTTCAGATGCTCGTTGTCGTGACTGTGTCACTGTAAAAAGTTGTACCGGTTGGTGTTACATGTGACTGCGTGACTGAGTTTTGGCCACAGACAGTCCTTCTCAATCTCTCTCACGATTTGCTGCCAGAAGCTGCTCAACAGACTTTCATCTACAAAGGATGTGGTCAAAAGAGAGATGCACTGCTACAGTCTAGCAGTTTGGCAAAACAGCAGAAGCTCACCAGACAAAAAAAGTTGCATGAGTCAGGTTTTTGTCTAATACTTGATTCTGCATCCACTTGCCTTAAAAACAGCTCCTTTCCTCCAGTTCCAGGACTTTGTAAAAGGCAGTAATAAAATTCTTCCTTAAATGTGGATTCTGTGGGTGAACATTGTTCTGGATAGCACTCTTGGTTTAGTAGAGAACTGTTCTTACATACTGATTCACTAAATAATTTATGTTTGTGTTTATGTTTGTGTAAGTGTGACTTGTGTGACTGTTGATGTTACAACATTGGCTCGAACAGCGTTTTCTGTAAGTAGAAATGTAGCGTGCGTCTGTGTTGAACTGCAGTGTGCAGTAGTCGTGTGCAGAGTTACACAACCTCTGTTCTGCACACCACAAACTTTCGACAACACCACAGCAGCTTTTTCCTCCCACATCTAGACAGCTGCACCACAGTCTGGTTCACTAGTTGACTGTAGTTGTTGTTTGTGGTGTATTTTGATGGATAATTGACCGCAGCTGTTGTTTTTGTTGTATATTTCAGTGGATAATCGACTGTAGTTGTTGTTTGTGGTGTATTTTGATGGATAATTGACTAAAATTGTTGTTTGTCATTTTGTTTTGTGGCAGCTGAAGGACCTGAACCTGCTGGATCGATGCCTGAAGGAGACCCTGCGGCTCCGGCCGCCCATCATGACCATGATGAGGATGGCGAGATCTCCTCAGGTACCGAACACTTCCTGCTGAAAAGATCTGACAGGGATCGGCTGCCCAGTCCAGGCTTCACCCACAAACGTGTTCTTTCATGGCTACTGCTGTGAGGTTGGGCAAGCGCTTTACAGAATGCTGATGAAAATCACCTTCAACCTAACGAGAAACTGCAGCTTTAGCTGCTGTAGCGCTGTTAGCTGGCAGTTAACATTGTAGCACGGCTGGAGTTACGCACTGAAGTCATTTGTGGCTTGGTAGAGCTACCAGGCTAAAGTTTGCTCCCTGTCATTTGGATTGTGCACTATCATGATACTTCAGAACAAAGTCAGAACATGATAAGTCAGAACAAAGTAAGCCTGCTGCTGTGACATTTTACCCGGCCACAAATTTCAGATGAAAGGCAGGAGTCCCCAGACTTTGAGTATCATCAGGACTGACTGTGCAGAGTTCCTAACGTTTATGCTGAATCTTCTCCCCCATGCAGAAGGTGGGGGGCTACACCATCCCAGTGGGACACCAGGTGTGCGTGTCCCCGACAGTGAACCACCGTCTGCAGGACACCTGGATCCAGCGTCTGGAATTTAACCCTGACCGCTACCTGGGAGAAAACCCCGCCGGCGGAGAGAAGTTCTCCTACATTCCCTTCGGAGCAGGTACGTCCAGACGGAACGCTCAGGGACATGGCTTTGACCAGAGACTCACTCAGACAGAGTTCAGACGGAGTTTAACTAGAACTTCAAACAAACCCTTCAGATGAGGACTAGAGTGAGGTTCTTCACTATGAATTATTCAGTATCTACTGTGAATTATTCAGTATCTGCTATGAATTATTCAGTATCTGCTATGAATTATTCAGCATCTCCTATGAATTATTCAGTATCTACTATGAATTATTCAGCATCTCCTATGAATTATTCAGCATCTCCTATGAATTATTCAGTATCTACTATGAATTATTCAGCATCTCCTATGAATTATTCAGCATCTGCTATGAATTATTCAGCATCTCCTATGAATTATTCAGCATCTCCTATGAATTATTCAGTATCTACTATGAATTATTCAGCATCTCCTATGAATTATTCAGCATCTGCTATGAATTATTCAGCATCTCCTATGAATTATTCAGTATCTTCTATGAATTATTCAGTAACTACTATGAATTATTCAGTATCTTCTATGAATTATTCAGTAACTACTATGAATTATTCAGTATCTGCTATGAATTATTCAGCATCTACTATGAATTATTCAGTAACTACTATGAATTATTCAGTATCTTCTATGAATTATTCAGCATCTCCTATGAATTATTCAGTATCTGCTATGAATTATTCAGTAACTACTATGAATTATTCAGTATCTGCTATGAATTATTCAGCATCTACTATGAATTATTCAGTAACTACTATGAATTATTCAGTATCTTCTATGAATTATTCAGTAACTACTATGAATTATTCAGTATCTACTATGGATTATTCAGTATCTACTATGAATTATTCAGTATCTACTATGAATTATTCAGCATCTACTATGAATTATTCAGTATCTACTATGGATTATTCAGTATCTACTATGAATTATTTAGTATCTACTCTGAATTATGGGGTAAATGACCCAGTTTGGAGGTGTTAATAACATAAAGTAGATAATTATGGGGCGTGTTTAAAGTGAGCTGTCCAGGCAGACAGAGGTGGACCCTAGCTGGACTGTCATGTGCTCTGTGTTGTGTCTGGCAGGTCGTCATCGCTGCATTGGGGAGAACTTCGCCTACGTGCAGATAAAGACCATTTGGTCTACGATGCTGCGTCTGTACGAGTTTGACCTGGTGGACGGATACTTCCCCACCGTTAACTACACCACCATGATCCACACGCCCAACAACCCGGTCATCAGATACAGACGGAGAGAACAGCACTGACCGCAGAGTGGACTTCAGCAGTTCACCACACCTGGACTCACTTTAGCACCTTCACACAACACGGACTGAGAGCGGAAAACTGCAGGGACGTTTTCATCAGTTCTTTATTTACTCTGTTAGTCTCTGTTAGCACTAATCGAGTAGACACACAGCTGCGTGCAAAAGTTTGGGCACTCCTGGTCAAAGTCTATGTTTTTGTTCATTTTCCGAGTGTGAATAAATTAACACACCCTCTACAGAGAACATACTTCTGCGCACAGTTACTGTTTATTTACTGAATTTAACAAGTTTCAGAATGATGAAGATGATAAAGCATTGAATGCGGCCTGTAAAAAAAAGTTGTGGCACTTTTTAAATTTCATATTTTATTTTTTACCCAGTTTGTTGAACTAAATGTTGAGTAAACACAGATTGTGCACTAAAATGTGCAGAAGAAGTGCCCTTTTTAAGCCTGTTCTCCAGAGGATGTTTTACCTTTTTTTCACTTAACGTGGAATTTTATCTGGAACGTTCAAACTTTTGCACACGACTGTATACGATGCAGTGTGAAAGGTTTTTTTTGTACAGTTGGTGAAGTTTCTCTTTAATCAGAGTATTGATTTGGTGTTGCTGATATTTCTCCAATACACTACACTAAAGTCTATATGAAGTTTTGCAAAGAAAATGATTTTGCACACTGGAGGAATTCAAGTTTTGGTTGAGTTATTGCTTTAAAAGCAAGTGCCTTAATCCCACCATCCGTTTCACTACTGTTTTTTAACATGGCCCGCCCACTTGACCTGGTTATAAGTCACAACAATGGAATATTTAAAACACTTCCTGGTGGGGGTGGGCGATTTGAGATGAAACTCAGAGACATACTCAGAATATTTTACAGTGTGGCAGTATTTCTTTTTGCTGAGGTTTAATACAGAAGGTCTAGAAGTGGCATTAAGGACCAGCAGTGCCACATTAAAAAAATACTAACCTATAAATACATTTTTATTCACTGTTGCACTTTTGCAGTAGATCCAGTTAAACTGGACTAACTGCTCTCTCTGTAGCGCAGCGGGCAGGTCAGTGTTCTTCAGATACTGACCACATCCATGATATGCTCAGAAAAAAGTAATTGTGATGTAATTCATCATGATAACCATAAAATCCCGTCATACTGGCCACTCCCTACTTAATATTTCAAAGCTATAACATTTAATTTGCTGTTAATACTGAGTTTAAGGTAGCAAACAACTCCATTATACATGCTGGTACAACTCCGTCATTTTACTCTGCTAGCTACTCTCCAACTGACCATGTGCACTAAGTAATGTTTACTGATGCATTTGAAGTGGGAGTCACAGAGTCAATAACCAAACACAGAGTTCATAACAATACACACAGTTCATAACCATACAGAGTTCATAACCACATAGAGTTCGGGGCTGCATATACATATACACATATATAGGTGTGTGTAATCCAGACAATCCCATAGTGTGAGCAGGTACGTCTCTACATTAGAGGCACACTGGCCCCGTGCTGAGAGCAGCCAATAAAAAATAATACACTTATTTACGTCCAGATGTTTAGTGAACTTGGAAAATGTAATAAAGCTAAATATGGTACCAGCCATTAGAGCAGAAATTAGAGATTAAACGTTAGTGACCACACCAGCCAGAGGATTTCAACATCATTCAGTCTGGAAAGGATAGAAACTGCTCCTTCAGTCCAGAGAGGTTCAAGAGAAAAACATGGCTAACTGTGAGTGTTAAAACCCTCCAACTGACCATGTGCACTAATGTAATGTTTACTGATGCATTTATACGGTGTAAAATATTTACGTGGGGGTGAAAAGTCAACGCTTTAAAAAAGCTTTCAAACTTTGCATTAAACATCTGTGACGATCACTGTGAGAATGGAAATAAACATTGCCTTTTATTATTAAGCGGTTTCCAGGGTAAACAGACAGCAGGTCTTTGTTTCTGAAGATTTTACGGTGACTGTTTACAGCCAACCTTTGGAGTAAATAACGCATGAACAGACAGAAGTGTGCAGAAATCTTATGCAGCTGAGAAAACAGTATAGATCTATTTATTAGGGATGCACCATTATACTGTTGATGAACATGTCAGCTGATACTGATACATAGACATTTATACAACGTAGAATCTGCATGTATTTAAAATATAACATTTATTTGTGTTGTGATAAGTGCAAAAAATGAATGCACAAACGGAGTCAATAACCATAAACAGAGTTCATAACTGTACATAGAGTTCATAACAATACACACAGTTCATAACCATACAGAGTTCATAACCACATAGAGTTCATAAACATACAGAATTCATAACCATACACAGGGTTTATACACACAGTTCATAACCATAGAGTCCATAACCATACACAGAGTTCTTAACCACATACAGGGTTCATAACTATGCACAGTGCTTATAACCATACACTGAGTTCATAATCATATAGAGTCAATAACCATACATAGAGTTCATAACCATACACAGGGTTCATACACACAGTTCATAACCATACAGAGTCCATAACCGTACACAGAGTTCTTAACCACATACAGAATTCATAGCCATGCAGAATTCATAACCATACACAGGGTTCATAATCATACACAGGGTTCATAAACAGACTTCATAACTGTACACAGTGTTTATAACCATACACAGCGTTCATAATCATACACATAGTTCTTAACCACATACAGGGTTCATAACTATGCACAGTGCTTATAACCATACACTGAGCTCATAATCAGTCAAAAATCATACACAGAGTTCATAACCATACACAGGGTTCATACACACAGTTCATAACCATACAAAGTCAATAACCATACACAGAGTTTTTAAGCACATACAGAGTTTTTAAGCACATACAGAATTCACAACCAAACACAGGGTTGGTTCATACACTGAGTTCATAATCATACAGAATTCACAACCATACTCTGAGTTCATAACCATACACAGGGTTCATAAACAGAGTTCGTAACTATACACTGTTCATAACCATACGCAGGGTTCATACACACGGTTCATAACCATACAGAGTCAATAACCATACATAGTGTTTTTAAGCACATACAGCGTTCATAGCCATACAGAATTCAGCCAGGGTTCATACACAGAGTTCATAATCATACAGAGTTCACAACCATACTCTTAGTTCATAACCATACACAGGGTTCATAAACAGAGTTCGTAACTATACACAGTGTTCATAAGCATACACAGAGTTCATAATCATACACATAGTTCTTAACCACATACAGGGTTCATAACCATACACAGGGTTCATACACACAGTTCATAACCATACAGAGTCCATAACCGTACACAGAGTTCTTAACCACATACAGAATTCATAGCCATACAGAATTCATAACCATACACAGAGTTCATAATCATACACAGGGTTCATAAACAGAGTTCATAACTATACACAGTGTTCATAAGCATACACAGAGTTCATAATCATACATAGTTCTTAACCACATACAGGGTTCATAACTATGCACAGTGCTTATAACCATACACTGAGTTCATAATCATACATAGTTCTTAACCACATACAGGGTTCATAACTATGCACAGTGCTTATAACCATACACTGAGTTCATAATCATATACAGAGTAAATAATCATATACAGAGTTCATAACCATACACAGGGTTCATACACACGGTTCATAACCATACAGAGTCAATAACCATACACAGTGTTTTTAAGCACATACAGAGTTCATAGCCATACAGAATTCACACAGGGTTCATACACAGAGTTCATAATCATACAGAGTTCACAACCATACTCTGAGTTCATAACCATACACAGGGTTCATAAACAGAGTTCGTAACTATACACAGTGTTCATAAGCATAGACAGAGTTCATAATCATACACATAGTTCTTAACCACATACAGGGTTCATAACCATACACAGTGTTCAGAACCACCATACTCAGAGTTCATAACCATAAACAGTGTTCGTAACCACACACAGAGTTCAGAACCATACAGAGTTCATAACCACCATACACAGAGTTCATAACCATACAGTGTTCGTAACCATACACAGCGCTCAGAACCATAGTGTTCATAACCATACACAGTGTTTAGAACCACCATACACAGAGTTCATAACAATACACAGTGTTTGTAACCACACACAAAGTTCATAACCATACAGAGTTCATAACCATACACAGTGTTCAGAACCACCATACACAGAGTTCATAACCATACAGTGTTCAGAACCACCATACACAGAGTTCATAACCATAAACAGTGTTCGTAACCATACACAGAGTTCATAACCATACACAGTGTTCATAACCACATACAGAGTTCATAACAGACACAGTGTTTTTATGTTTTAATTTTTAATTCTAGTTCTTAATTTCAGTTTTGTTTCAGTTAGTTTTAATGGCACATTTATAGGTTTTTATATTGTTTATATATTTATTCATAGTTTTAGTTTCATTTTAGTTCTCAGTTAGTTTCAGTTTTAGTTGGAGTGTTTGGTTTATGATGAAACGCTGCATTAGCAGGTATTTGGTAAGAGTAGGATAAAATTTCACAGCTGTAGACTCTGTAGCTGAGAGTCCAGCTCGGCTCCAGATTTCCTTAAAGTCCAAACACACAAACACTCCTAAATTCTCTTCACACTGAAATACTAAAGCCAAAGTTTATTCTCAGGAATTCCATTTCGGTTTACTTAGTTTTGCCTTCGACATTATGGTTTAGATTTTTAGAATACACACTGTTTATTACCACACGTACTGTAACTGCAGAGCTGCCGCTACTGTTTTCCAATCCTAACAACTAAATCGAACCTGCATAGACTACAGCTCATAGTCAGTGATGTATCTAGAACCTCCAGAAGGTCTAGAGTGATGAAATTGGCCATTTTAAACCAAAGCGCTGGATTTTCCTTGCAGAATAATTCTAACTCTTTGAGTGGCCCAGAGTTTCGTGAACGTGGGACGAGTGCTGATTGGGCGTGCCCGCACTCCGAGCACTGACACGTCAGGAGTGACGAAGGGCCACTCTCCTTAGCACAATGACTGAACCACTGGTGTGGGCCCTGCTCGGCCAGATGACAGGCTTGTCCACAGGCTTCTACACACTCCTGAACGCTGCCGCCGGCCTCTGGGGACCCGAGCCAACCAAGTGTGTCACTGCTTACCAGAACACCACGACAACCATCACCTGTAAGGTAATAAAAGCAGACCCCCAAGTCTGGAGCTACGCCGGATATAATAAATATTTCTGCCGGAGCCCGTGCACCAGTTGGTCACACACGGTGGGGTCCATGAATGGGGACTGTAACACCATGCCCACAACTGAGCAAGATGGTAACACACTTAAAATCACAATTAGTAACCCCAAGGTGCACGATGCTGGGACCTATCATTGCTGTGTTGACCGCACTGGCAAGGATTATTGCTCTCAGATCATCCTCTCTGTCCCGAGCTCCGCCCACACATTTCGCACATACACATCAAGCATTTAACACCTCGAGGTGTTAAACATATGTAGATTGTCGCATTTCTTTGAATTGTTTATCCCTGGTTAATAATTAGACTGACCGTCTCTGCTTAGACATGCGTCACCCTCACTTAGAAACCATAACAGGAAGGACCTGTCTGAGCAAGCTCTTCTGTGAATGTATATATACCCAGTGCTATTTATGTTGGGGAGCTTCAAAGCCTCAGCTGTTTATAGTTTATAGTTATGAACTCTGTGTATGGCGGTTTTGAACACTGTATGGTTCTGAACTCTGTGTATGGTGGTTCTGAACACTGTGTATGGTTATGAACACTGTTTATGGTTATGAACTCTGTGTGCGGTTACGAACACTTTTTATGGTTATGAACTCTGTGTATGGCGGTTATGAACACTGTTCATGGTTATGAACTCTGTGTATGGTGGTTCTGAACTCTGTATGGTTCTGAACTCTGTGTGTGGTTCTGAACACTGTTTATGGTTATGAACTCTGTGTATGGCGGTTATGAACACTGTTCATGGTTATGAACTCTGTGTATGGTGGTTCTGAACTCTGTATGGTTCTGAACTCTGTGTATGGTTATGAACACTGTTTATGGTTATGAACTCTGTGTGCGGTTACGAACACTTTTTATGGTTATGAACTCTGTGTATGGCGGTTATGAACACTGTTCATGGTTATGAACTCTGTGTATGGTGGTTCTGAACTCTGTATGGTTCTGAACTCTGTGTGTGGTTCTGAACACTGTTTATGGTGATGAACTCTGTGTATGGTGGTTCTGAACTCTGTGTATGGTTATGAACTCTGTATGGTTCTGAACTCTGTGTTCAGAACTGCCATACACAGAGTTCATAACCATACACAGTGTTCAGAACCACCATATATAGAGTTCATAACCATAAACAGTGTTCGTAACCACACACAACGTTCATAACCATACAGTGTTCATAACCATACAGTGTTCAGAACTGCCATACAGAGTTCATAACAATACAGTGTTCAAAACCGCCATACACAGAGTTCATAACCATAAACAGTGTTCGTAACCACACACAGAGTTCAGAACCATACAGAGTTCATAACCACCATACACAGAGTTCATAACCATACAGTGTTCGTAACCATACACAGTGCTCAGAACCATAGTGTTCAGAACCATACACAGTGTTTAGAACCACCATACACAGAGTTCATAACAATACACAGTGTTTGTAACCACACACAAAGTTCATAACCATACAGAGTTCATAACCATACACAGTGTTCAGAACCACCATACACAGAGTTCATAACCATACAGTGTTCAGAACCACCATACACAGAGTTCATAACCATAAACAGTGTTCGTAACCATACACAGAGTTCATAACCATAAACAGTGTTCGTAACCACACACAGAGTTCAGAAC